GAGCTGGGCATATTCCGAGCAACCAGGCGCTGCTCTACTCGCCACACTTACCGACCTCAACCTCCACCGTTTCCAACTCCACCAAGCCTTACACACTTTCCACACACTTCAAGAAACGCCTTTTTGGCATGATCCGTTTCAACAAGACCTGCCCATCCCGATCACCCAACTTTTGAGCAGGTATCGCACACAGTACCGACCCAGGGCCTTTCTCCTGGATCCCAACTTGGATCCCAATCAACACCCAGCGGAACCATCCATCCACCCCATTAGCCGGGACAACAGCTCGCTCTGACCAACATCCCTTACCAACTCCACACACCACCCACCCGGCCTATCACTCAGCAATGCCACCACCCAAACTTCCCCTTTCACCGTCCTCCGCCTCCACCACAAACAGCAAACATCGCCTCCGCCCACTCCCCTTCGGCTTCATCAGGACCAACAAACCTCCCCTCCACGGCTTCTCCACTTTGCCCAATCACTCTTGACACTCCATCCCAGACCAAACTCCATGCCATTGCACTCTACCCATCTTTTGCTCGCCAAATCCGCAACCCTCGCCCGCACCTGCCCCTTCTACAACCACAAAGACTTCAGCGCCTCCCCCCAGCATCACTTCAGCGGCCAACAAGCAACCGAGCGCAGACAATTTCCAGCACGCCGACCTGATTCCTGGGCCTGTGCTACCCAAGCTTCCACCACCACCGCCACTGCCCAGTGATTACCAGAATCCAGCTCTCAGACTCCTCCACGAACCAACAAAGCACGGCCGCAAGATCCGCGCCGAGGCTCCCCTAACCCCCGCTCTCGCTCCACTCGACTTTCCTCCCTCCACACCCGAACCTCAGCCATCAAACATCGGCCCCTTTCACCAGCCACCGGCTCCGGCCGGCATCCATGCGACCAATCCCATCCCCATGTTTGGCACTACTTCCCCAGCCCCACCACCGCCTGGATGTACACAACACCTCAACCGTCACCGGCCCCTCATCACATCTTTGGCCCACTCCCATGGGATACTACCACTACCTTCTTCCACAGAGCAATGTGCCTTTGGTGGACGCAACGGGACGCGCGCTGCCTTATTCCCAGCAACCATATGTCCCCGAAGACGACCGGACAACTGAGGCGACGGATGGCCAGGCAATCAGCCTTGAAGAGCAGTGGTATTAGCTTGTTTACACTTTCTCTGTTCTCAACCAACGGTACAGTTTGGATTCGCTTTTTATGACCAAGCTACCTTACATCCCTCCGTCAGCCAGATATAAACCACTGCAGGTCACCGGCAACCGCTTCACTTCACACCACGAGAAAACTTGCGGGGCGTCGGACTTCTTTTTGTTATGACATTGCTCATGCCACAACCAACTTACAGGAGATTGTCATTCTCAATTCACCTTCTCTCATGATTTTTGGTATTTTTCGACTTCTGTTAGCCACTCCAAGAACCGCATGATCCAAGCTTTATATGAACTAGGTCAACGTCGATTTTCTTCTTGTCAGGACCATTTTTTCTTTAGCTCTTGTGCTCAAAATACCATCAGTCATTCCGCCCTCGTTTCGAGTGCCTGCCTCTTGTTCAACATGGACGCCAACTGGCAACAGTTCTATTGGCAGCATTACCTTCAGCAGCAAGCACAAGCAGCTCAGGCGAATCCACAATACTCGCCAACAAACACTTACGGCCCAATGACGCATGCGATCCGCACACAGCAGGCTCACCAACACCATCCTTATCAACCATCACCCACTCCGCCAACCCCACAACCTCCTCTCCGCCACACCAGTTTCCCCCACCACCTCCACCACCTCCGCCACCTCCCGCCCCGGCAGCTCCGGTCACCCACTCGCCAAGCTCGGCCGCGCAACCATCAAGTCCCTTCAGAGCCTGGTCAGCATTGGTGCAGCACTCGCCTGTTGACTTGGCACCCTCGGCCAGCAGTCACCCAACCCTACAAACATGCGCCACGTTTTCCACCTGCGCCGAGCCCTTTCCACCCTCGTCCATCAATCCCAATACATTGAACGTGATATGCTTCCCCACACTTACCACTTCCACAACTTCCTCTCCTCCAACTCAGTCTACATCAAACTACAGTTCAACATTCAAACGCCTCATCGCTGCTATCACCAACATGGCCACTTCTACATCGGCTCTGCCATTGGCATCCCCCAACACAATCGCCGCGCCAAACTCAAGCAACTCCAAAACAACATCCCAGTCTCAGCCGAATTGTCCTTACCCTACTGGCATGCACACGACAACATTCACCACTACACCACCATCCAACTTTCCTCTCATGACACATACGACCAGGCCTGGATACATGAACACAACCATATCTCCAATTGGATGGCCCCCCTCAATTGGCCTTTTATTTCACACCACCTCAGACTGAAAGCCCAAGGCTCACATCTTACAAAACATCACGCTCACTTCTACTCTCACTTAACCACTCACAAACGACTTTTCCGTCGGCTACGTCGACGACAAAACACCCTCCGGGAACCACACCTCTTTACCTCCACCAAGCACCATGCCCTGACTATCCTGCGAAACATGCATCCGCCTCTTTCGAAGCTGCCAAACAATTGCGCAGCGGCCGCCATACCGACATTGAAGTCTACGCTATTCGACGCATGGCCGCCAATCTCGAAGAGCCTGGCAGGAGTCGCGCCCTCCACATCATCCACTTAAGCACTCAAGTACCGGAACCTGACACCACCACGACCCAACCTTCCACTCACCGTCCCTTTCCTCGCTCACGAGGACTTTCTCAAGCATACTCAGCAATGACTGGCTTCAAACCACTATATCCAGCAACACAAACACCTCGCCATCCCCTTGCATTTGCCCTTAGCTCCTGACCGGTGTCAGCACGCGACGGTAGTTGATTGGCACCTGGGTGAGAGCCTTAGCTCCTCGTCTGCCACCCACAGGCTTCGCGAAGCTGCCCACAAGACATCACGATCCCAACTACACAATCGTCGAACATGGGAGGAAGCCCTCCACACTCCTCCTGATCCAGCCGATCTCCCCTGCTCTCACCTCCACACTCTTCTCCTCCACCCAGACACGCCCACCACCAACCGACATTACATTCTCACCCTTGATCAACTCAACTTGCCGCCACATCTCCGCATCTTTCTGGACGCCAAGATGAACAGCACTTAAGCTCGATACTTTCTCATCTCTCAAGCAGCCTTCCACAAGTGGCTCAAGCTTCAAGGCCTTCCAACTTCCCTGACTCAACACTTGGAACCTTTTCTACAACATCAATGGCGCCTCCACGTCACCCACCTGCCCGCCTCCTTCGACAACTTCAAGCCTACCTCGGCGATCAAGTCGTGCTCCACCATGCAGACCACGAAGCTCCGTGCGTTCTGCCCACGTCAATATTTCATAGGAGCCCTCAACACATGGAAAATTTTCGAACCACTACCCCATCTCACCCCCAGCAACATCCACGAACATCTTACAGCTACCATTCCCCCCGGCCTCCGCTCCAGATACAAATGGGGCTTCTGTAAGGACTTCGCAATACCATACGCCATTGTTCACCTCAAAGCCAAGAAGCTATGGCAAAAAGGCCGCACCATCATCTCATATGATCAATCTATGGCAGGCAACCTCCTCCGCATCACCAGTCGGGCTCTCGACATCATTCTCCAGCACCTCTTCCCACAACACCCGGGACAACTCTCTATCCCACAACTCTGGCGTCACTTCCATTCTTACCTCTCCCAAACTCCGGCAGACATCACCCTACATGCCACCAACGATGACCTGGTAGGCTTCTTCAATTCAGTTCCTCAACACTGCTTGATCGATGCCATACACTCCCTGGTCCAGGAGTGGCAAACCCAGCAGTCGACGCATACCCTCACAGTCGACACCAAAGCCACTGGCAATCCATTTCACCACTCCCACATTGGCAGACATCACACTCAGCATCCTACACAGCGCACTCTCCACACATCCGACATCACTACCATCGTCACTTTTGCTCTCAACACCTGTATTTTCTGGGCTTGCAACAACACCTACAAGCAAATCCGAGGCGCTGGCAACGTGGCCATCACCCTCATCGAACACTCATGGCACCAGCTACACAACAACCTTCTCCACCACACCGACCTCCATTCACTTACTCCCGCTATGTTGACAACTGTTTCATTGCGCACAACGAACATTTCCTGTCACACCCAGCCATCCAAGCCCTCATCCACCACAACTTTTTCGGCGACCCCGTCGAACTTGAAACAGTGGATGACTTCCACCTCTTGGGCTTCAACATTGACCTCCTCCAGCGCACCATCACCTACATCCAACCCACCCAACCCTGGTTCTACAAGCGCTGGCAGCCAACGCCTCACATTGTCCGGTGTCGCCTCCCGACTCCACGCCATTTACACTTACACATTCCCTCCACAAGCAGCAGCTGCCGCGGCCGAAGAGCTGGTCCACCTGTACGTCCTGAAGGGACACGCAGCAAGAGACTGCGAGCGATTTTTGAAGTCACCGAAAAACAGCAGCCACGTTTTCCACTTGCGCCGGAACCGGCTTCATGTGTGTGTGTGTCAACCTCTGTAACTAAGAGTTCCCTTTCCTTTTTCTACCTTCACTTTCAAGCAGGGGCGTGCAGCATCTGTGGTCCACTGCACGCAACGAAGCTACGACCACAGATGGGAAGGGATCAAGGATGCTTGATCCTGTACCTGCAGCGTGACACTACTCCAATCTTTCTGCGCTGTGGTTTGCTTCCATGGTTGTTCACACGATAGACCCCAAAACTTTTCCCACCGCTGCTGATCAGTCACCGCCGCTTTCCGCGAGAGTGTTTGCGAGCTTCTTGAAAACAATTTGTTCAAACGCCTTCAAATGCCTGGACACTTCACCTTGCGGTTCCATCGCCTTTTTTCCACTTGGGAATTGAGTTAACTGAAAACCAATGTCAGAGTGTGCGTTCTAGATTCTAGATATTTCTTGTGCGCACCTGGTCACAGCCCATGCCACCAATGGCAACGTAGGTGTCCTTTGCAGCCATCGCTGACACTACAACGTCCGAGGCAACACTCTCGTCGCACTTGTCATCAAAGAAGACGTGCTGCAATCGATAGCCTGGGAGCAGCAGTTGGTCCTGGAAGGTGAAACAACAGCAAAAGAGAACAAACGAGTCCTGAGTGAGTCCTGTTCCAACCAGTTCGCAGGGCACTAGCCTTCCGTTTCGCGCCCAACCGTAGCAGGTTGGTCGCGCGCCTCAACTACACATCTTCCTTTTCAGCTTTTGGATCCCATCCTGGTTGATGATTCCCTCAGCCAGGCGTGCAGCAAGGCGGAAGGTGGTGCCAGCAGCCCAACTCCCAGTCAGTGGCAACGGCGTGAGCACTTCGAGCGCGAGCATGGTGGTTGTGCGGGTCGTGGTGGAGAAGTAGAGATTCACGGCTTGCGACGCTTCAATGGCATCATCTGCGAGCTCAACAATGCCCTTCAAGGCTGATTGATCTACAGCCAAACCCTGAGAGATGGATTGGACTGTTGGCTTTAAGGCAGTCCAGGCAGTGTCTACTGCATCCAAGAGCTGAAGGCCTTCAAAAGACCCTGTCTGTTGTATGTCGTTCATGGCAAGTCTTCGATTCAGATTTCCCTCTCGAAGCAAGGCCTGGTTGTGTTCGAATCTGGTCATGCTGGTGATCAGCCTCACGCGTAGAGAATCAAAGCCACCCACGTAGATCAGCACCAGATTCCGTTGAATCTTCTGCATGATTGCCAAGTTCTCAGCTGCAAGTCGCATCTTAGCACCCTGCAAAGATGGCTCTTGCTGATAAGCTCCTGAGAGGTTCTTTCTTAAATCAGGGGGGGTTGTACCAAAAATATCATGTTGACATAATATGTTGACTGAAAACAAGCCCTGCAGAATGATAGAATGGATCGATCACACACAGAAGAAATAAACGTGAAAAAGCGAACGACAAAAAGGACCTTCTTCTGCTGGGCTTCTTTCTTGCACCGCATCACTCAGTCGGCTCGCATAGCGATCAAAGTCATCGGACCGACCGAGAATTCGGTTCAAGCTCTCCATCGATGGCGCTCCGAGGAGGTCGCCTCGTATCGACTCGTAGGTGTCACTGAGTTGGAACAGTTCATCGGAAATCTCTTGCGTGGCCGGTGGATTCAATGACTTCTTCCTCTCACCGAACTTGAAGTCTTCCAAGGCGTTCTGGAGCTCTTCCACGGTCTCCTGCAGCCGCGACGACGAGTTCCTGGGCGTGAACTCCGGCGGCAGCTGCGTGCAGAAGACGCCAATGACCTGACCCGCACGCCGCACGCCGGTGGAGAGGAAGGAGGCTAAGGCGCCGTTGGAGGGACCGTAGGGCTTCCAATCCACCACGTTGATGCCATCCGGGTTGGCCACAGCGGCTCGGAAGGCTTCACCCAGACCACTGTCCTGACAACGTGGTGACAAGGAGATGACTGAGTATCCAAGAAGCAAAGCAAGCAAGATAATTACCATGTTCGTGTTTTGTTGCGTTTCTGGGGAATGTGTTTGGTTTGGCATCCTTCCATTCTCCGGGTCCATCTGCAAGGAAATTGGTGGCATAGTCCAATTCTTTGTAGACGGAATAGATGAGGTTGCCGCCCATGTCGAAGAAGAAGATGTCGTAGTAGTTGTGATCGTAGAGAATCGCCCTATATGTTGGATGGTACTGTGCATGAACAGCATGGTACTCTTCAATCCCATCTGCACGGTTCAGCTTGTCCTTCTCACCGGTGGGGAAGGGGTTGAGCAAGATGTAAGCGATTTGAAGACTGAGAAGTCTTTCGGCGTCCGTCTCTCTGAAGGCATCCCAAGCTTGCTTGAAGTTCCACAGAGCATCAGCCAGACCAGACTCGGAGGCCTCAATCACCAGGTAATTCTTGTGTTCTTCCAAGCCCATCGCTGATGCATTGAGCCAACTCTGTGAGAATCCATGCGTCAACAGGGCAAACTCGGTGCTCGTCTTGAAGAACCTCCACCTCAACTGATTGGTCTCCTCCATCATGATCTCCCAAGACCTTGCATCAAGGACGATGTTGCAGGTCCCATAGCCTGCCGCATAGGAAGCCACTGCCGAGTCGATCACACTGATGGCGGTCTGCAAGAAGGGTTGCATCTCACGAACTTCCACGGGCTTCGACTCGGGTGGCATCTGGGTGCAAAAGACCCCGATCAACTGGCCATCCTGCTTGATGCCGGTGGATAAGAAGCTGGCCAAAGCACCTGCGGTCGGCCCGGCAATGGGCTATAGGGATGATGTGAACCGACCCTATTAAGCTTTTGGATTTGTCTGGTAGTATGTATAATCTACTGATAGTGCAACGTTAAGGTTATGAAATTGGGATATTTTGGGGTGCTTGGTCTGTATAAGGTCTGTAGACGTATGTGCCCTTCACCCCACCTGAGCTCGGTCCATAAGGCTTCCAGTCGATGATATTGATGATGTCCGGGTTCCTCACGGCCGCCCGGAAGGCTTCTCCCAAACCACTGTCCTTCCATTCACCACTTCCATGGGCCAAGAAGTTGGTGGCATAGTCCAATTCTTTGTAGACGGAGTAGATCAAATTCCCCTGTAGATCGAAGATGAAAATGTCGTAGTAGTTGCGTTCATACAAAATGGCTCGATAGGTGGGATGGTATCGCTGGTGTGCAAGGTGGTAATACTCGTCTCCTTGGGCATGATCCAGATTATCCTTCGAGCCGACGGCATTGGGATTTGCATAGATATAGGCGATTTGCAGATCCCGCATTCGAAGGGCATCTGAGGGTCTGAACTCATCCCAGCCTCTCTTGAAAGCAAGGAAAGCATCCACCAGCACCGGACTGGCTGCTTCTGCTGCAATGAAACCAAGATGACTGTTCAAGAAGTCCTTGGAGCCGTACATTTGGATCAGAATGCTCTTCAGGGCCTGAAAGCAGGCGAAAAGCGAAACCTTTTTGTCTGACATGCTTCTCATGGGAAATGGGTCAGTCAAAAGCTTTGTTTGTCCCAAGTCAACCAAGTTTGGTCCACAACATTCACAAATTCGTCCATAAAATCGCACGGCAAGGCAGTGCAACACACCTTGTCCCTGCCTCATAGTCTGTTTTCACTTTGGCCATCGTGCTCAAAATGCACGCGTCGGTGGTGCGTGGAACTGGTACCTCTGCTGCCAATGCTGAGCCTCCAGCCCCACGTAGCAGTTCAGAATGAGTCTTCTCGAAAGACATGGCCATGAGATCAAACTTGTCCTGAACAAGTGACCAAGTGACCAAGTGACGTGAAAGGGTCAACAAAACCCGTTCTGCTTTTTGCGGGGCTATACCTCAAACATCTTAATTAAGTCTCTTCAAAAGTGCTCAAAATGTTCAAAGATGTTCAAAGTGTATCCATTGGCCAAATGTGCAAGTCTCTGTCTTTCCTTGAGCAGTGTCCCCTACACTGATGATTAAGGCCTCCTTCGCTAAGCTCTCCAGCATTGCCCGATTCTGCTGGATCAACTGCCAAAGGATGGCCCGTGACTCCCCTGCGTTACTTGCTGCACGAACATAGAGGATGCCCACCTGAGGTTTGGAAAGCTCTCTCGTTCTTCGTTTGAACACTTCAGACCATATCCAATCCCAAAAAGAAGCAACCTGCCATAGTCGGCCATAGTCCAACCATTGGTGGACACTGTCACACCAGGCGCATCTCTAAAAGCGAGCAAAAGCACAATGAGACCACAAAACACAATCCTGGCCTCTTCGAGGTGACGATCAAGCTCAAAGCTTTAGTTGGTCATATGTTCCTGCGAAATGCTTGTCTCCTTCTGTATGACTCGTTCCAAGTTGCGTTTGTACCCGAGCCATGCATCATAGACCGTCTTGAGCAACTCCACCAGCTCTTGTGTGGGGGCCACTGGTACATGCGTAAGATATGAACCTGGTATCGACGACTCTCCCAGGCCGACAGCCCGGACGAGCGACTTGACTCATCGACTCGAGTCATCGACTCGACTCATCGACTCATTCTCATCGGGAACAAAAGATGTCAAAGTGGTACAGTTTAAAACAAGAGCCGGGAGTTCCTATACGACTCTCCAAAATGATTTTAACATATTTAAACTTATTCCATGTCATCCGCATGTAGTCGAAGGACTATCGCATAATAATGCGTAAACAATTTGACACTTTCAAGAGCCTTTGTAGGCATTGGCGATTGCCACTTGCCCATCTGACATAGTCTTCGTCAGCCCCAAGAGCTCCTCGTCCTGGCTGCTATCGCTCGCCCTGGTGGCCAAGGCCTGGACGAGGAGCTAAAAGAACTTGATGCGAAGGAAAAGGCATCTTATTGAACATTAAATATGACATAATTACGAAATTCATGTGTATAGTATATTATACTATATTATATATATATATATTGAACATTCTTGAATCCTGAAACATATTGACACATTAAACTAATCATAACGCATCATTAAACAGGCGCGATCTCTAAGCTCCTGTCTAAACATTAAAGAACACTTTGGCTGACTGGTACGAGCTTAGAATGGCATGAAAACAAACGGATCCAAAGGAAATCAAAAGAATCTGTCTTTGGGGGGCAAAACTTCCCTCGTTCCCTACTAGGCACCGGTCAGAAGTAGGTGGACTATGGTCTGGGGTGCCTCGCCGGCGTCACCTAAAACGCGCACGAACTCCGTGCCTGCATGTAGATGCGAGCGGCTTTGGCGACCAGCTGTCGGAATCGATTCACTTCTTGGATGCCATTTCTCCACAGGGCTGCATCCATACCTTGCAAGGGATTGCAATCAGGCTGATCAAGCTGATCTATGAAGGCCTGCATAGTGGCTCGAAGGAGCAGTGAAGCCTGGCAAACAGAATCCATGATGCCTTCGGAGCTCACAGAAGTCTCCAGATTTCGCACCGGTTGCAGTTGGGTCTCGAATTCAAACCAAATCTTGGACACCGTCAAGACTTTTTGCAACGGGCAAACATTGGTAAGATCTGGAAGATCTGCAACTACATTTCCCCAGATGATGCTTTCGAGAAGAGACGAAAAGAGCACCTGCAAGCCCTGCAACTCTTCAAGGTGTTGGGCCTCTGCGATGTTGAGCAAAATAAAGCTGCACTCCACCGCAAGCCTTACCGAATAGGAGAGAAGCCGATAGGCATAAGCTTCGACCTGTTTCTCAGCAATTCCAGCCATCTTGGCATATGCCTGATACTGCACGATCAACTGGTCATACTCCTCGACCAATGCTTTGTAGCTTGTGTCGAGATTGGTCAAGACTGCTGTTGAAGTAGAGGCAACACTACCGATGTTGCCACGAAGAAATGCGTGCATTGAGTTTGTGGTGTCTACAACGTGCTGCAACTGCGCAGCTGTTTCCGCATTTGGTGGCGCTACCAAATGCTTGCTTGGGTTGCCTGTGGTTAAATCACTCTGCGTCATCTCAATTGCAGTAAGCAAACTACTGAAGCTGCTGGACGTGTAACCACCGCGAGCAACGTGCACAAACTCCAGAACAACCAGAGAAGCTTCCATGTTCAACGTCTCGACCGTATGGAGAGTGTGCAATGGATCATCGGAAAGCCTCCGCACGACAAGGCCGTCGGAGTGGTGACTGACCTTGAGGCCTCGTTCTGGAACGGCCACTGCTGAGAGCTGCAACAGTGGTAGAAGAAAGTGAGCCTTGAAAACAATCATGGCCTTGCCATAAAACTTCTTGAAACTTCATGAAACTGCCGCTGAGCCAAAATGAAAGAAGTCAAGGCATCTGCTTTTGAGACGTTTGCGTACTTTTGCCCAAATGTGTTTGACGAAAGGCATGAAACAGCGTGCTCAGATCTGTCGTTTTGTTTCAGCATGGCTTGCTCAAAGAGTGGCCTGGAGGTGGTTGGACTCTGTACGAGTTCAGGACTCCCACGCAACCTGCCAGTGGGGTCGCACCTTTTATTGGTCGCGTCTCCAGTGAGACCCTCCCACCTGAATGGGTGGTGGCTGTGATGTAAAATGTTTGAGTACATGTTCCTTTGCACGGCGGATTTCATCGTTTCCATCTTCCCAAGAATTGGAAGACATCCATGGCCATGTTGGAGCGACAGTTTTCCTCCTCTGCTCTCTCTCTCTCTCTCTCTCTCCTGCACTTCCTGGCCTCCCGCGTCTTTGTTCATCGCAAGGTTTTACAACTTCCAGCCAAACATATGTTTACCACGTGCCACAATATGACAAACATATGTATATATATATACCATGTATATATATGATACATATATCATATATATATATTATGTGTTTACCACAACTAGGTTTTAGATCGTTTCAGAGATAACGAGAGAAACACAAATTCACTAAACATCGGATTCACAGCCCCGGGATCACCTCCCTCGAGGTGTGCGCCGGGGGCTTTCTATCCTCAGCAGGCTGGATCCGGACCGCTTGAACGAGGTAGTATTGCTTGTGCTTCACTTAGGATTCCAAACTAAAGGCAGGTGGTAGTTTTTCTTCCTTTTATGACTTTTATGCCCTTAACTTAGGCTTCTCCAAAAGAAAAGAAGATGAGCATATCTTCATCAGCATTCCTATGTTGCGCAAATTGCTCCAAAGAACTTTCGTCTGCATTCATATGAGCAAAGATGCGCACTTTTCTGGCTATAGGATTGACAGCTTCGTTGTATAGTAATGTCGACTGATTGGTAATACTCCCACATGAAGAGGACTTTGAAACCAAATGGGATGGTCTATCAATCAAGAATCAAGAGTCTACATTATACTACTGTCCCCAAGAGACATCGAACTTTTGGTAGCCTTTTTGTGCAGTGCCCGACACAGAACTTCGCCCGCCCAGCGGCGGAGTACAGCTGCGACGTGGGAAACAGCCTGCGTCCTGGCCATCGGTGCAACCGTCGGACCTGCAAGGTGTGAACGGATGGGGGGTCAAAGTCGACTAGAAACCAAGCTACTGATCAAAATGGATCAAACATGGAGGACCCACAAAATCCCAGCAAAACCATGGCATTTGGCCCTCAGACCCCGAAAGGGCCAGAACGAAAGCGTTGGTCTCCGTTGGTCTCCACATCTTCGAACGACCGCACGTCTCGTTTCCGCCGGTCCTCAGCCACTTGACCGCGGATCGGCCCCAACATGGCATCTCCACCCCTCCGAGCTCCGCTTTCGTTCAGCTCCACGGGCGTCCGTGTGGTTTCTTTCGGTTCATCAGGTTAGTCTCGTGCTGTTCACCTCTACATGTCGCGACACGGGACACTCCCATGTTTCGTCGTCGTCCCCAGATAGTATGCGGTTGAGCTGTGCTGGTTCAAGGGTTCTGGAGCTGACATTGGTATTGCCTGCTACTACTAGTATGCACTAATTAAGGCGGATCAACTACTGGACTGTGGGGTGCCTATGGCATAGAATAGAAGGACTTTCATGATCTAGACAGTCTACCGCTTGCTGCATGTCTGTTGTGCCCTAAAGGGTCTTCACAAGACACAATGCACGCACATTGATGCAATCGCATACAATGACAATGAGCTGAAAACAAAACTTGGCAAGTCCCAGCATCAGAATGTGTACATATATTTAAAATCAAACCACCTAGCAATCATTCACCACAATGTGGAAAAGGCAAAAAGAAGGGCAAGGAGATACGCTAATCTTTTCAGCTGCTTTGACTGTCCAAGGTCACAAATTGCTTTGGCCGCTTTGGCAGTGCAAGAAACGAAAAGTGTTGGTCTTGAGGTTTTCCCTTCTTTCAGGTTTTGACCTCTTCATCATCTTGATTGTCATCTGCATCTTGATCTCGGCCTCATCTTCAGTGATTTCCTGTGATCGCCCCTTCGGTCTTCACCGCAACGCGGCCGCCCATCGTCCATGAGGCCGTGGCCGTGGCTTGAGGTCCCCCTTCTGGATTGACGAAAGGCCTTTCCGATCCAGGAAGGAGTTCCGATCAGTCGGAGAGAAGACACTTCTGAAGGCGAAATCATCTGACTGCGGTCGCCAGTCTGGCTTGTTGGAGATCTTGTGGACGATCTGCAGCAATGAACACAGCAGCACAATTCTATCTTTTAAAAATTAGCCAATGTGGTTTCCAACGCAAACTCCAGCTTCCTTCAGTGTTCGGATCAAGTGGGTGTCTATCAAGTAGGGAGATCCCTAACCAATGGGTTTGAGTAAAGGCTCTTGAGGAGGGATCAAATCGCAACAGCAGCGTGGTGAAGTACCCCTTGAACTGCTGGACACAGGGTTCGCAGGCCCAAGCTAGCATTTGACGAAATGTACGTGGTTCCAACCAAGATTTTAGCTTGCAGGTTCGACGGTCTTTGCAATCATCGGTTTTAGCTTGCTGTTTCTTTCTTGGTGTATCGAAACGCACAAGTGCGTGAGAAAAAAATGTGGTGCAAGTTGCTATGACTGTGGTAGTCTTCAGTGGCTGATTTGCTTGTCAAAAAGCTCGCGCCAGCAAGGTTTTGCTTGTGCTCAAGCTCTCTGGTGGGACTTGTGGGACTCGGGACGGACGCGCCACGCGCCACCGTGGCGCCAGGGGCGCCCTGGAACGACCGCGGCGCGGGTGGGTGGGACCGTGGCTGCGCGCAGCCAGTGCGCGGGGCCTGAGCCATGCACAGTGGCTGTGGGGCTGCATCGCAGCAGCTGTGTGTTTCACAGCATGTGTGTCGAGTGAGTCAAGAAAGAACATATCGCGCAGAAGGGTGCCCCCTTGCTCGATAGAGGAATATTGTCTTGCCCATATGTGGCCACAGGCGGTGCTTGATAAGTTTCCAGCATCCAAGTCGGTCTTCACTTATTGCTTTGGGATGATTGGCCAATCTGAGTTGTGTACAGTCAAGCCTCACCTTTCGGCGCGAGGCATTGATGACGATTTATCATGATGTATCGCTGTGTACTGGCAAGCCTGCTTTGGATCACACAGCCTCCCTTTTTTTGCATGAGTGAATGTTTAACATTTGGCGCCCGTCTTCTGCCCAGACCAGCAATAGGACATGGAGGGTCCGACTGGGTGTTTCCCAATTCTGACAGCCAAATCAGCTCATCCAGCCGAACGTAACGCTGGAAACTCAGTTCGTTCTGCACCAGTCAGTTCATCCAAACGTAATGCCCTAGACCTCCCCGCCTCGGGACACCGCCCTCCAACTGGGTGTCGCCCCTCCATCCGCTGCGCGTGGTGAAATGTTCGACCTCCAGTCGAAGTCCCGGGGCATCCGAGTGCCGAACCGGCCAAAAGGCTGGGATGGTGCAAAAAGAAAGAGGACACCTCCAATGGAATTGGCTTAGGAAAAGAGTCTTTCTTGATTTCACACTGAGCGTCTGACCTCTCAAGACAGCTTTCAAATCTGAAAAAATAGGATATAAAATATGATTATATATAACATAGATATCTTGTACCCTATATTATATCATATAATTAATAGATCATAAATATGATCTATCTATCTATCTATTTATCTATCTATACCAAGGGCTTCAGCCCCTTTGCAGGCAACACTTCCATCATCTTCTCCATCGACCAACCGAGGCGGACCCCTCGGCGGACCCCTCGGCCTCGACTCGATGGCTGCAGCGGTCAGGTGCTTTTGGGCTCAGCGGACTTGCGCTCGTTCCATCGGTGGAAGCGCTCGTGGAGCTCCACCACCTGAGCGACTGGGACTGGACCGACTAAAATGGTCGAAAGGCCCAGTTCGGTCGAAAGCTATATAACAGCAGCCCTCCGTCACAGGAATCAACAAAGATTCCTTTCAGTTCCACATTCTCTGCATTCCCCGCACCTGTTTGGCCTCCTCTTGAGAACTCTTCACCATGGCAGTCTGCACTTTTTGTCGAGGAGTACCTCAAATCTGGCTGGAAAGGAAAGACACCAGAAAGAATCCCACCGATTCGTACGCCTTACTTGGCGTGCAGGAGGACATGTCATGATTGTCATGAACAAACACACCTGGGCACAGATTGTCACTCATGGCGTGCGACGACCAATTGACAGATCGAAGGAACTGAGCCCAGCACCCACGTCAGACCACTCATCCTCATCCGACCTTTGCTTGGTGCCCAACAGTTGCGCTTCCAACTTCTGCAGCGATCGCAGCACCGCCTGGGACAGGCACAACAAACATGGGTAGATATGCATAGGGTTGTGCTGTTCTGTGAGGAAACTCCAGCTAAGCAATCTGGGAAATGTTGATCTTGGCCTGTGTAGAAGCATCCTCGCTGTCAATTTCGGCCATCTGTTCTTGCACCAAAGGCCTTGGTGACCATCTTTTCCTCACGTCATGTCTAAACATGTCTAAACCATACATCTCGATCAAAAAATGACCGGACCGAACAGTGGTTCGGTGTATTCTTTTCCCCCAAAGACTCCAGGACCGGATCCCTTTTATTCCGGATGGGTCCAGATCCGGTCCACCGCGGTCCACCGCGGTCCGAGGTGCAAGGCCGGCATGGCTCGCTCCAGTAGTTCTGCTTGACGCCCAGAAGCAAGCAATGCCAGGCACTCAGATGCCTGACGGGTGGTGTTTCTTCGGATGGACATGTGAATGGACATGTCATTTCGGGAAGCCTCTGATTCGAAACAAATGTGTCATGTGCGTTGAGGAGTGTTAGAATTTTCGGACATACCATGACATACCGACATATATCTTGGGTCTATTCAATTCCTACTCCCTGTGGTTTGCTGACGGCTGGATTTCATGCCTGTACCAGGATCATCTTCTGCCGGCAGCTCCAGACATGGGCAGACATGGACATGGCCCAGATCATACTCACGCACCCCTGTGCTTTTAACGCCAAGTTGCGGCAATCACAACATCAGGCCGTTGATTGTGACGATCCAGCGCAGCGATCAAAGCCTTTGCGATCTACAGCAGTCATCTCCAACAGCCAAAACGGTTTCTACAAACTTGGCGATCTCGACCTCCCCTTTGCTAGATCTCCACTCATCCCAACAACTTGCCAATTTCTTGATTGCAACGATTGAGAAGCTTGGGGACAATTGGCTTGTATTTCCGGAGCCAAAGAACCTCACATTGGAAGACACTCTCACGCTTTTTTCGGAGTGAGAAACCCATACGTACGAGAAAGCTGCGGCCAGCCGCGTGGTGCTCTTTGAAGAAATCCATGTTTTGCATGGCAAAGCCTCAAAGAGTCGCTCCGAGCGACTCACCTCCGACTCCGATGTTCGCTGGGCGGCTTTTCGGCCAAGAAACGTTGATGCCACCATACTTGGCCACCGAAAACCGGCAGGACGTGGAGCTCACACAAAGGCCACCAAGCCTCACTCCATCGGGGTCTTACCGGAGAACTGGACAACGGCTGTGGGGATCGACATGGAGGGAGGACTAAGGAAGCCAAGAGTTCTGAGGGGGGTATATTATTACCTCCTGGTTCCCAACCCTTGAGACCTAGGAACTACTGTATGCATCCTTTTAGCCTCCTTCAAGATCGATCGCGCACGTTCCCCGGGCCGAACCCGTCCGCTGTAGGGCCGTTCCCACCGAGGGGCACCAGAGCGCCCGCCACCTGCACGTCGGCGTCGCGGCGGAACTTGGCCATGGCGGTGATGACGCTGGGGATGCCGCCCAGGTCGAAGATCTCCTGCCTCAGTCAGCCGGAACAAACGACAGGAAACACTTGTGGGGAAGAGGAATTGAATTTGAATTCATTGGAAGATTTCAAGAGAACTTCGGATCTCTGGAAGATTCTGGAAGCAAAATTAAGGCACGGCAAATCATGTTTCTTGCTTCGATCGTTTTTCAGGACCTGTCGGTGCTCCCTTTCGTTGAAACGACGTCGTTGAACCGAGTGCCTGCCCTCTTTGGTCATGCACGAAAGAGCATCCAGGGCTGCTTGTTGCACTTGTCGAACTCGCCTGGTTGCATGGTACCGTTTTGGTGCAACAAACGGAGCAACAACTGGTGCAACAAACTGCAGTGCAAACTTGGAAGCTTGTATTGCTTTCGAAACTGACGACTGACGTGAAATACAATAATTCAATGATGTTGCAGTTCACTTCATTTTCGTCACCACCTCACTGCCATAATATGAAGATAGGATACGATAGGTATCTGGTAGGGTACAGGCCGTGCGCCTGTGCTCTTCCAGCGCTTTCAGCAAGATCGGCACTGCGCCATCTGCCTAACGGACCAATCACACCCCAAGTTGGTGAGAAATCACAATTTTTTTATATGATGACAATGTATGTATGTCAGTCATTCAGGAAACTCTCACATGCTGATATGGCGTACCCATATATGTACCCATATCATGCCTCACATCCATTGATCCTCCTCTTCTAGTCTAGTCAAGCTCGAACAAGGCGGCCTTCATTCGTGCAACATGGCTCTTCTGCTCTCGGCAAATGGCCTCCCGCGTCCCACCGCGTCCCATGCAGAGGAGGAGGGAGTGGCACATAGTCGTGTCACAAAAGACTGGATCATTCACCCTGAGAATCTGGATGATGAGCCCAGATGAACAGGATGATGTGTGTCTATGTGTGTCTCAAAGCCAGTGGAAATATGTGGAAATCCAAAATCTGCATGGACAAAACAGAAAAAGCAGCTGGCGAGAGCATTTGAACTGTCCCGCTGAGTTGTGGAGAGCAATGAGCAAGACCCTAGCCTATCCTGGCTCCTGCATGTGCTTCTGAGACATGAACGCTCACATGGTCAAAGAAATACAACGCGAGACTCAGGCAACTACGAAGGGTCGATTCACCGTCTAGGGCACCTCCACGGCAAGGCAGACTTTATGTTGAATCGCGGCCTTTTGCAGGAAGTCTGATCCCATTTGCAAGACTTGCTTTGAGTACCTCAAGCACTTGCGGGAAGACCTGCACCTGGGGTGTCAGGCCTGGGGGTTCTTCCGGAAAAACGACGAGACGCACCTCGACATCACCTCGCACCTGGACATGATGTCCATCCAATCATTCCATCGGTGTCCATCGGTGTCCATCGGTGTCCATCGGTGTCCGGTCCATGAGCGCTTCCAAACATCCAAGTCATGAACACTACAAGGAACAAGGAACATGAACATCCAGTCTGTGTCTTGTTCCTAGTAGTAACATCCAAGTCTGAAGTCATTTCCAAGTCATGAAAAGCACTGAAGTGGCGCACTTGAATGCCTCTGCTGGCGGCGAGTCCAGCAACCTTGGCGAGTCGCGGTTAACCGGTTCACCGCCGGGCGGCATGGCGAGTCCGTGCTACAAAGCCCAAACGACCGGCGTTGACACAAGTTCACACGATCAGCCTCTCTATGGCCCATTGGCCTTTAAAGAACCACATAATTATATAATTGCCTTCGAGGTCTTTGTTCTTCCCTATTCTTGCCTCCATGGTTTAAGTATGTTTAAGATGTTTAAGTCTTCACCACGAACCCACGGATGACCATGACCCGATGCGACAAACCACGGGAACCGTGTTCGGGACCCGGTGCCGAGGAACACATCGAGCAGCTCCAAAGCACTCCGATGCGCGTCGCCGTCCTGACGTCCGTTCGGGCGAAGTCAGACTGTCAGACCTGGTCGTTTTCGCTTGGAGGCTCAAGACGCGGCGGTTTCACGAAGAAGATGGCCTTGAAACTGAAGGATCGTTTTGGGTGCAATCTGAAAATAATACGTTCGGACAATGATAACATTGATCTGGGCCAAACAATCTTGGACTGCTTGGCGCAAAGGTAAATCTGGAGCACCTTCGCCGAATGAGTCCGGAGTTGAACAAAACAAGATGCCGCATGGATCACCTTTTCAACCTCGCCCCTTCTTCAATGCACAGAGTCAAAATGTGTCCTGTTGCCATTGGGTCTCGACGGTGTGTTTTTGGCGAGAGCGTCCTTGGTGACTCAGGATAGAAAAGCCCTGCTGGTCTAGTCTGTTATTCTTATATTACTATTTGGATGCCCTTAGAAAAGGTGCAATTTCAAGGGGGTCGGAAAAAGTGATTACAAACGACCTAGAGATGAGCGGTACTATATATGCAGTGGATAAACGGTAGTGCGCAGGGGTGTTAAATCTCTTCCTTGTGCTGTCTCTCAGAGCAATTGGCGGTTATCTTCGCGAAGCCGCCTGAATATCTTTGCACATCTCCTGCTTGGGGCCTGGAGACAATGCACCACATGGCCCTATATAAAGGAGCACTGTGCCCGGCCCAAAAAGGAATAGCTTTAAGGAAGAACACGTCTTCCCCATCTTTCCCTCCGATCTGTCGCTTTTCGACTCCAGGATCCCGCCGAACTGAGTCCGAACTCCGCGGATTTCGTGTCGCCGGGGCGTGAGGATGACGGGATTGATCCACTTCCCCTTGACCCACTTCCACGGTGCCTTGAGCCGAAGATATGAGGAAATCACATCGATGTTGCGCTGTTGATATGAGGAAATCACAGCCCCCCGCGCTAAAGATATGGAAAGGAAAGCAAGAATCACAACTCTTCAGTCGTCCCCATAGCATTGGCCCGGCCTACCCCGACGATTCATGGCGAGTCGTGACCCGTCGAATGCCAGGAGTCTGCGTCGCAGCCAACCACCCAATGCCAGCAACGTCAAGAGCGCTGGCGCAAAGGCAAGAACCCACTGGATGGGTCCTTCAGCAATACAGAACCTGCACAACACAGTTGGAATAGAGCGCCAGGACATGAAAGTTTCAGGGTTGTGATTTTTACACAAGACATGTTTTTTGGAATTCCCTGCCTACTATAAATGCAACAAAATACATGGTACGAAGCTCGAAAAGGCCAAAGACGACCTTCGTTAATCGTTTCCACGTGTAAGCCCAATTCAACAACTGAGCTCTCGACCTGCCCAATGGAGGCATCTCCTCACACCCGGTCGCAATGGCTGCCGTGACCAGGGCCAACAAGGCTGCCAAGACCAGGAAAGGCAAACCTAGCAGCAAAAATGGACCAAAGCTTGCAGCGGGAGAATCTTACCCCTACAACTAAAAAGGAAGCCAACGGTGTTAACAAATGAAGACCTGGTGAGCCGATGTGGAGACCTGAAGAGCTGATAGTCCATCGAAAATGCCACATGATGGAGTATGTTCTGCTATTATCTATTTTCCCTTGTACCACACCTTTGAGGGTATCTTCGGAGATTCCTTCATTCTGAGACAAATCCACGAGTCACTAGGACCACACAATCTGGGCCGTTCGAAGCGGAGACGAGAGCCAAGGCACATCTGCTGCAGGTCCGCACTGAACATGAACACCTGGAGATTCGACCATTCACGGGGTTCGCGTTTTGATGCAAAAGGCCTCAGGATAAAGGAAGGAACAAGGTTCTCCAAGCAATGAGGAGATAGTCGCAACTGTTAGTCTCAAAAACATGTTTAACCCCCCAAATACTTGCGTCCTCAGAAGAAAGCCATACGTCCAATCCAACTGGCACCTCCTGCTCTCCGCGTAGCTCGGCTTCTCTTCGTCCACCTGAGGAGGTCGCTACACTCGTCACTACACTCGACAAGTTCGAGCGAGGCAGAACTTCCCAGACCGACTCGAGTGAGTCCCTCAAACAGAGAATCACATAGAGAATGGCATGAGTTTCCAAAACCTATGAAGCTGCAGGGGATGTCTGTCTCATGCTTGGGCATTCCTCAAGTTCAATTCCAATGACTTTCTGATTGAAGATGATCGAATCTGGCCTTGGGCTTGCCATCTGCAGCAGTTCTATCCGCCTCACGCACAGACATGCTAAGTTACAAGCCATGCAAAGAATGCAAATACATGGCTAGTTCTTCTTGAAATTTCTTGAATAAGAAGACGACGCCTTCCAATTGATCATGCATGTTCCAAACATCCATGGAAATCATGGAAGTACCTTTGACATCCTTTGACGATCATTACTCGGGCACTCCATGAGACTGCCATATAATATGCCTAGACATTGGGGTGGCTTTGGGGGGGTCAATGTAAGCATACATGGCAGTCCCATTAGTCGTGTCTCCGCCCAGTCCCTGGCCTCGAGTGCCGCGAAGGCCTCTCCAGCTTCCGGAGCCGCCTTTTGGTGCGTTGACGGGTGTGCACTGCACGGTCGTTTCGGATTGGGGGTGAAGATAAAACCAATTAGACCTTTTTTTGGGTGTCTCACCATTTTAGACCACAAACATATAGCATCGACCGACCGAAGAAAAAGAAGACACAAAGAGATGACTCAGTCACATCACAAGGTGCAAATGGTTTGGTCTGATGAACGGCTCGATAAGTGCAACACATGGGTGACAAGAAACTGATTAAGCCTCCTGCCTCAAGCAGAAACAAAAGAAAGCGATGTGAGAGGTGTCCAACCGGATGACCTTTCCAAGACTCCAAGACCCTCCGGGATGACCTACCCTTTCAGTCCATCCGGTAAAGCTTTGTTTCTCCGACTTCCAGGTCTAGCCGAACCAAAAAACCATGACCATTAAGAATCAAAGAACACCAAATCCAATCGTCTGAACCGACGAACACCTCCAAACTGGGCCGCCTCCGGCTCGGACCCCTCGGACGGGTCGCTGTCCAGCTCCAGCGACGCCTGGCAGCGCACAGCCGCGAAGGAAGGAAGGCTCAGTTCGAACGGTCCGCAGGTCGAACGATCGTCCTTGGGTTTTGGGGGGAAAAAACAGTTTGCTATAGTTTCAGTTCAGAACATCATGTCATATCCATTACTAATATTGATCACCTATATAACTATAGCCTTGAAAACCGCAGTATCATGAAGCCCATCCATTCCATCCATATCTTCTGCGACGAAACTCGGTCTTCCGCGACTTTTTGGACCACACGGTCATCCGGTCATCACGTGAACGTGCGTCTTCCAGGTGAACATGCACCGACCAGATCAGCCCGCCGCGGTGAAGGGATAGATGGTTCAAAGAAGCAACAAAAACAAGCAAAGAATCCTATATACGAAGGTCAAACCAGGTGGGAACACTTGTGATTTTCAGCTTGTGGCGTCATTTTCTTCCACGATGGGGACAGATTGACAGGCCAGTTTCTGCTGGAGTTGGTGACACCTTTCAGCCTCCGAGCGCAATCTGATTCCGATAAGGATTCAACAACAATGGTTAACTAATATGCATGGTGCATCTAGCTTGCGGCATTGCCAAGCTTTGCCTTGAATGTGTCTTCTTCAGTTTGGTCCACAAGCACCTGAAGTTGGTTGGGACGACCAGCACCTGTCTATAGTCAGGACTCAAAAAGGCCTTGAGTGAACTCATTCTGTCGGATTCTGATCGGATCACACGACCTGCGCTGTAGCACTTTGCAGCGCTGTGGCACTTTGCACGACGCACGGGCGGTCAAAGGAGGTTTGCGCCGAGCACATACAGGACCCAAGCGTAAGGATGATATACCTCAGCCGGGCTGCCGAATGGCACATCTGGCTTCGTCCGGGAGTATCGCCCAGAAACGCCACCGCCACAGGCTCTCCCCCCCAAAAGTATTGTGTAGACACAAAAGGCCGAATCCAAAGGTCAACGCCTCAGCCCCTCCAGAAACAGAGGAACAAATGACACCTCTGGGCGCACAATCAGTAACTCCAATGTAACTGAACAAAAAAGGCATTTGCTTCTTCCCCTGCAACCCGTCCCCAGCTCTGCGGCCATGGTTCTCCACTGGTCTCGGTGTCCAACTTGCACTTTGCAAGCATGTTCTCATCACTTTTCTGTGCACCTAGACAAGTCAATGTTGTGGAAGATCACATGTCTCGGAGAACCGCTACAACCGCTTTGAACGGCCAAGACATCTTGGGGAAGAAAAAACACTCTATAAACAAAATGCGTTGGAGCTGACTTGAGAATTCATCATCACACACGAGCTACAGAGTTTTGCTTGCCTGCCACATAGGCCATGCGCACTGGAGAGAAGCAAAGCTGTGCCAAATTCTGCAGGTTCCTACAAGGGCGAAGTCAGCTTACTTGCAGGCCAAAAACGACAAATCATGGGCCAGCAACAATTGCATTGAGAGGACTCAATCAAGCCTTGCAGGATCTGTCCACATCGAACCATTCCCTCAAAAGCCTTGCGCAGTCGCGGCTCGGGAGACGCGACTGCGCCACCCGAACCCAACCGCCTCCAGCCAACCAGCGCCACTAATCTGCGAAAGCCCATGGAGTCCTGAGGCGTCGCGAGACTGCGGCCACTGAAGCAGACATCTTTTCGGTAGAAGACGATAGAAAGGTGATGAAAGCATTTTAGACTAGACCACCATCGAGTACCAAGGCATATCAAGTATAGCACCACCTTAATCTTCGCTCCCAACGGGGTTAGACAACTCATTCGTGGATTCCACTGAAGATCCTGCGGCTTTTTGTCTCGGTGGCCAAAGGCCACCAATCGCGCCCGATACACAGAAGATACACAGCATTACTTTGAGTCCCATGACAAACAGATCTCTCCAAAAGCCAGTCAAATCAAAGAACATATGATGAAAGGCGATGTATGTCTGGCTCGACCGGTGATCTTTTAGCCAAAGACGAAGAACCCGATTCCCACAACAGAGACTGCGGCCAAGTTGCTGCTATGGGTGTTGGCAATGCATAGCAAGAGGCTGCTGTGCCATCAACTAGGAGAGTGCCACATGCTAAAAGAGGCGCAAAAAGGCCTGGACGCAAGGGCCATAACCATTCTGTCGGAGCACATTGGGGTGAATTGGTCTATCATGCACTTCTTCCAAATGGACGGGAGTCTAAGTCTCACCACTGTATCGAAGGAAGACTAGTCTGACATGAGGGTGAAGGTAGGTAGCTATGCCTTTCGGGAAACAATTAGGAAAGGAATTGCAAAACATCTTGGAAACACTACACTTGAGAAGCATCTGAAAAGAAGCACGGATGGCTTGAGAATTTGATCAAAATCCATCGCCTTGATTAGGCATGTTATTATGAAGGTTAAATGCAGTTGAATGACGATGAGCTTGATTTCCGATGTATCCTGCCTTTTCTCCTCACTGTGTCGATGCGCAGCACTTCGGGCTTTGCCACGCTTCCATCCACCTGCCAAAAAGCGGATAAGTGAGGTTCCTATACCAAAGAAAACTGATGAGATGCTAAATTTCTAGACCAGAGCGAACAAAGGGCAAACACATAACACAAAGCCTCGACAAATCGTCATCGTTTGCCCAGCAAATCGGCAAATTTTCAACATTCCAGATTCATATCTGTGTGGCCCACATTCCCTGATATACTCTTTCCAAGAATCTTTCCAAGTATATATTAATCTTTGTGGCCAAATACTGTCTTTGTTTGCCAAGCTTTCCTTGACATACTCTTTCCAAGACAGTCTGCCACTCAGTGTTTCTCAGTACTTGATCCAGGTCCCGGGCCCAGGGCGCAGCCAACCGGTGCCCTGGGCGCACGTCCCGCGCCACCGTCGGCGCAAAGGCTTCGGTCCCGGCCTCCGGTCTCGCAACACGAAGCGTTTTCGGAAAGGGTTGGATGAGACACATGGTGAGGTATTTAGCAAAAGCACATGCCATCGCGATTTTCGCCACAAATGGCTGGGTTGAATGAAGTGCAATCGCTGGCCTTTTGTGCGAAGAGAAGGTGGCCTGCTGTGAGTTCCAGCTTGCCTGCAGTGCACGTGCTAGAGGTTTCGCTTGCGAATCTCACAAAACCTGTTGAGAGCGCTTGCAAATCCTGGAGTGCTGCGAACTCAACTCAGTAGCTGCTTGGTAGTCTAGACTGTCTTCAGGTGCAAAGATATTGCAAGGGATGCGCAAAAAATAAACACTTCCATGCGGAGATCCCGAAACGAGTGGCATTCTTGGCTACAAGTACTAGCAGGATACTAGCCGTCCCCAGGTCCCAAAATTCCTGGCTATTTATTTACCAAAATAGTCTTGCATCCAAGCCGTACGCTCCACACGGAACCCGCCTTGTTCATGGGTGATTTGAAGGACCTCCGCTTCCATCTCCGGTGCCCGGTGCAGGAATGCCACCACCGGATCAAAGCGAAGCTGCCACGTCCCGTCCTCATCCTGAGGAAGGCGGAAGGCACGCGGGGGCTGCGAAGCGTCCTAGGATTGAAGCGTCCTACACCTACCCACATCCTGATGTTGTTTTCTTGTGACGTTGAAACGACTATGACTTTGCGAGGAATGCCTCAATTCTAGAGCAAGCATGCGTTGCATGATCTTTTGTTGTTGTTGTTGTTGTTGTTGTTGTGCCGATTTCCTTTGTGTATCCCAAAACCATCAGATGCAGGCTTTGTAACTACACTCTTCATGCATTACCTGCATCCTGACAAAAGACCTCTTCGTTGACCCCTTTGTTGATGCATTGAAAAATAAACCTAACCCACCTCGTCTTTTTCTACTCACAGATCATCATCCCACCAAATGCAAATCCGGTGGGTGGCCCATCCACCAGGCGTGCTGTGCTGCCGGCACACTGGGATGGCTGCCCAAACATGATCGCCTACACGAAGCTGTGAGAGGCAGACTGCTCCGCGGCCACGCGCCATGACCTGCTTTGGTGCCGTGGTTTTCGTTTGGGGTTTGTGAGTTCAGGAGCTCCCAGTTCTTTGACAGTTTGATGCAAGCACTTGCATTGTTTGACAGCGAACCTTGGAATTGCCAGGGAAGCAGAAGAGCTCAAACTCGGCCTCGCAGAATTCTGCGCAACGTGCCTGAACCAAGGCAAACGATGTCATGAAAAAGCTCGGCGTCTCTGCGTTACCTCTTTTTGCGCGGTTTCTGCAAGCTCCATATATGGAGATTTCGAGCCCTGTCTATTTCATTGTGAAATTTGAAATACATGTTTGTACCATTGTGCGCTGATATGATGGTCAAACCAAATCCCAATGATGTTGGCTATTACGAAGCAATTTGTCTCGGAAACTGATCTCCCCATCAGGGCTGTGACAGGTCTGGAGGCCTTGTGTTGCAAGATATGCCAGAGGATGCAGGACACATCAGGCAAGAAGCAAGACTGCAACAATCTTGGCTTGCAAATGTCGAAGAATGAGACATGTGGTTCTTTGGTGGTTTTCTAAAATCACCCAGTTGAACACATCATTACAGTACCATCTATATATGTATATCTATGTGCTTCATGTTCTCTCCCTGACCCTCTCTTTCTCTCACTCTCTTTCCTTCCGTTACGACCGATCCCTGCTGCCTGGTTAGCTTTTTCTCCGCCTAATGCTGCATCCGCCACACCAAAAGCTCCGCTCTGATTGCCGTCCTGTAGAAAAACCATTGTGGTGTTGACTCGGTATTGACCACTGTCGTGTCCACCAAATCCAGGGGAAGAAGAACATAGTGTCACTTCGTCCCATCAGATCATCCAACTGGAGAAAAAAAAAGAAAACTGCTCATCTGTCCTTGAGCTCAGGGGAGTCGCGACACGATTGCAAACATGCATCATAGCTTTCCTTAGGGGTCGCAAACACGCCCCAAACACGATCGCGTTCAGGGTCGTCGTTGCAAGTACGTCGCAGCACGTTGGTCAAACACAGCGGAGAGAAGAGGTGATGGGATGCCATGGTTTGACGGTGATGGGATGCCGGGTGCTTTTCATGACTAACTCATCAAACACTGCATAGACATAGATACTATTGTTCTGCTGATGCTGATTCTTAACTATATATATATACCAGTACATACGTCAAAGCTGGGCAACATGCAGCGCACATGATTTTTGCAAATCCCCGATGCAAAACGCGTTGGACGTACTGACACTGATTCAGACGTACTGAGTACCGACATGGATATTGCCAAATATGACTCATTTGACTTCCCTAACCAAAGGAGTGTTGTCCGACGTTAGCGGTTTTTTCTTGTTTCATTTTCTTTCAAGGGTGTGAGATATGATGGAAGGTCATTTTAACAACATAGAAAGATCGACGTCAATCACAAGCGCTTCGTAGATGTCTCACATATGACAAGTTTCTCCGCTCAGCTCAACCTTCTTGCCTGCAAAGCGAACGTGAAGCGAACGGGGATCTTGTTTGCCGAGCTGAAAGCGCTCTCAAACCCAAGCAAGTGAGACTTGTCCTCTCAAATGAATGTTGAAAATGAAAGCTACTGGGAATCCCATGATGCTTTTCTGTCCTTCTCTCAAGCCTCCAGGCAAACATGATGAAAATGATAACACCTGTCATACGGTATGTGTTTTCCGTCATACCTGTGTGGACTCCGGAGGACCCGTGTCACCAGAAAAAAAACACCCCAGCCCACCGCATCCAATGACATCCCGCACCCATCTGAGTGGTGAAGGTCAAGGTGGTTCCGCCGCCGTTGGCGACGCCGGCCCCTGGAGCACCACCAGGAGCTCCAGGAGGGGGGCTGCCCCTGAGGATATCCTGCCAAACGCGCGCGTGTGCCGGAACCATGTCCTCCTTGTCTATGTGGTAGCTAAAGTAAAATGAAAAGTATGATGGCCAGTACTCAAACCATCCAAACCCACTCATCAAAAGCAATGAGCCACATGAATCTTAGAATGCTGAGAAACTTCCTCCATGTGCTGGCGGTGCTCCATGGTAGCCACCGGCACCAGGTGGTCCCTGCGGTGGTGCACCCTGTGGTGGCGCTCCCTGAGGTGGTGCCTCAAAGGAGGTCCTCAAAGGAGACGAAGGAGTCGTGGCGGCCGCGTGACGCGGTTCGGGTGGACATTGGTGCGGTGCCTTCGGTTGGGGCCACGGGTGGAATAAATAGATCTTAAAAAATTCGATAGAAAGAGCCTTCCGACAACGTTACACAAAACTCCTCTATAGAATCAGGATCTCAAAAGCATATAGCTTCACTAGAAAACAGGGCACAGAATCAGGGTACACTATAGAATCAGAGTACATAGTTAGTCATCCCACAGATTATCGTTCCAGTACAAAAGAACTTTGGTACCTTTACCATGAGCCCCTAGATTATGTAGCGTTTATTCTTTCCAGGATCCTCTGCTATTGCTTGACAGATTCACATGCTTCAATGTCTTGGAATTGAAAAGGCATTGAGCATCGGAACTAATTAGGTTGAACTGGCTCGAAAAAACAATGACAACTCTGACTGAACGTTTGCAGCTTGAAATCGTTCTAATTCATGTCCTCAAGTTGCCGTCGTTCAGGAAAGCATTCTGTATTTTCCTCGTTGCCGCCCGAGGCACCTCAAATTTCAAGCTCAATGGAAGTCTGGTCGAACCTTGAACCTTCAAGCTACTTCGTGCACAAACACCCGTTGTACCCTCCTTCAATCCAGGGTCATTCAAACGTCATTCATGGCTACTCTTGCAAATCTGAGTTCTCTGCCTGTTGATCCTTGAGCAAGCCTCATATCCACTCTCATATCCTTATCATTCCTTATCCTTTGTGCTGACAATTTGTGCCACCCGCTTCGTGCTGCCCAGTCACGGAGAGGGCACTCAAATCCAGCAGCCCAGCTTTGCTCCAGACCTGGCCGACGTCGCGCGACGCTCGTCGCGACGCGACCCGACCTCGCGACGCGACCTCGTTCGCCGCGCCTGAGAGATGTCCAGAGAGACATTGAGATCTCCTAAAAGCTAAGACATTTGGGTGAAGGTGTTTTTCATGTGTTAAGGACAAAGGACAGGAGCAGAAACTGCAAAGCACAACCAAGAAAACAAGAGATCTAATAAGAACCTGCATCTGCTGAGGTTGTTTCTCAGCCCAAAAAACGTCTTTGTTTCAAGACCTTTCCGTCACGTCTTTCTTAGATTTTCAGCCAAGACACGGTCTAAGTGCCCGAGCGGCATGTTCCGGTCTCACCAGCCACGGTCGACCATGAGGGGACACGGTGACCCATGGCTTGATCCAAATGCGCGGAAGGCGTTGACTGTTGACCGCTTTCCAAAGGATTTACAGGGAAAGAACACAGGTCTCTGTTTGAACTATCAAGAAAAGGTGGACCTTGAGTTTACCATACTATGCTGCAAACTGAGACCTGTTCAAAATCAACGTGGAAAAATGAAAAATGATGTTTCCCGGTGGCTCGAGCCTTCGGCTTTGGATCGCTCCGAGCACTCTTGGGCCGGGCGAAGAGGGTGTCGGCGAGGCCATCCTGGAGTGAAAGAACTGAACATTCGGGACAACCAAATGTATAATGAATATTAATGAATTATATACTTCAAATATCCCTAAATCCAACGCATCCCCCCAAACTCCTCCTGCACCATTCTCCTGCCCTCTACTTGCTTCAACCCATGCACCCCCCCCCCGGAACCTGCTCCGCCAAGTCCGGCACCACGGTTGCAGCTGCAGCTGCGCCGGCGGCCGAGGTCTTGGATCCCTCGGAGGCCAAGGACTCCGTGTCGCGGCGCCGGGCGAAGAGGCTGTCCACCTCGGCGTCCCACCCCGTAGTGGACCGCGGGTCCGCGCGGGTCGCCGGGTGTGGACTGCGGAGTGGTGGCCGAAGTGCTGCCGGGTTCACACCGATGGCGAACCGGTGTTTCCGCGCTCTCAAATGGAGAGAAAGCGCCCAGGTGTTAAACGGACCAACGGAAGCGTTGAACATGTTTAAGTGACTCAGAGACACAGCTGTCTGCGTGCTCTGTGCTTTTCTCCACCCACCTGAGGCGAGGACGATTCCTGCTTCCTTGTGCAGGGAGGCTTCCTTGGATGCACATCGAACCTTTGACATCGTTCAAGGCAAGGGTTTTTGATGTTCTGGAAAACCATCTTGCCATGTTTTCCCCATAGTTGTACTCAACATGTAGAGACGTCAGGCTCCGTTGCTCTTGCAAGGCGCCTCATTAGGCCATAATGTCATCCTCCTAAAAGGGGGGGAAACCCACAGCCACTTGGTGTTGCTTACCCATCCTCCCAAATCTGAGTGTACTCCCTTGCAGCCACAGTAGATCCCGATTCTAAGCAGAACGGAGGGGTCGCGTCGTCTCCGTGGGGTCGTCTCCGGGTCGTCTTCGTCTAACCAACGAAAGCCTCTGATAGGACCCCGGAACTCGTCGAGTCCTTTACACAGCACGTTTGCCAGAATCGTACCCTTTCAAGCAAAGGCCCCTTGGTGACTCAAAGGCCCCAACAAGAGCCAAACACAAATAGTAAATTCTCGATCTATCATATACTGTATCCTTCCTATCACATATATATATACATAATATCATGTATATATAATATATCTATAATATATATATACTATATATTATATATTATCAAGTGTCAAGTATCTATCTATCATAAATATCTTTTGTCAATCTTTGCCATATGATGCCATATGATGCCATTATGTAACTTCTCTTCATCCTCTCGGCCTCCCCTCCGCTCCGTACGCGTCCGGAGGCCGCCGAGCGTCCATGCGCCGCTGGTCGGGCGTCGCCTCGGCCCAGTCCATGGCCTCGCAGGCCTCCACGGTCAGACTAGCCCATGGGCTCCGAAAGGTGGCGAAACCAGTGAAAGTGAAGAAAGAAGCAACAGCTAGGCTATGTAACAGCAAATTGGTAGGGAGGATGGAAGGCATCAATTCCTCTATAGGCATAGGATTCTATCTCTTTCATGACTTGCCTTCCAACAAAAACTGGTTCATGGTCTAAAACCCCGATTCTTGCGGCCGCCAACGGAACGTCGTCCTCGTCCACCGCGATTTCCTGCGCCATGGCCTGGAGGGCTGAGCCATGCTGAGCAATCGGAAATTGGAGAGACACGTGCGGCACGGCATCCGTTGCATGGATGTGTTTCTTCCAAGAAATCTCAGTTGAGAGACCCCACCTTTCTTTGGTTTGGCTACTTTCTTAAGCTATCTTCTCAATTCGCTTGCTGCGAATTGGGTGGAGAAGGAAGACACCCCACCCTGGAGGCACAGAGTTGGGCGGAATTGCTCCCATCCGGTGCGATTTTGGAGCACCTGCGGTGTTTACCAACACCGATTCAAGGAAAACCCAGGCGAAGAAAATTAGGAAGACTGTTTTGGTTCTCCCCACAATCGAGAAGTCAGAAGTCCCTTCCCTTGCTCAACATCACTTAAGTAGACATGGGGCAAAACATGTAAAACAAACACACAGAAAGCCATTAAAAATCATGAAAAAAATCCTATATACCATAATGTGGTCATGGTTCCCTGATGACAATCGGTGGTCGGTCCGCCATCGGCTCCCTGCCTCCACAATCTGCCGTGCGCCATCGCGATCCAAGCTGCTCAAGGAACCTCGCAAGGCCGCCGAAACCTCGACACGGCCCACCTCTGGGGATCGGCACAAGCGATCGTTTCATGCAACGCATGCGTCGCCACGTCTTCGCTCAGTCTGGTCCAAAGTCACCACACGCCAGTCGCCTTGTCACTCGTTCCGTCAGTCACCACACGTCAGTCACTGGTAAACCAGGGAAGTGGTAAACCAGGGTAAACGCCGCCGCACCCCCACGAAACAACGCGACTGACCGACAACAGAACGAATCGCATCACTCGATGGACGATCTGCCTTCATCGCTCCTGGAGCCTCGTCGTGCAACAAAGAGTCCATCCATGGGACGCGAGGCCGCCGTTGGGTCGTGCGCCGTTGGGTCGGCCGTGGGGGGAAATCCCGGAACGACGGAACGACGGTCGGTGTCTGCCGTGTTTTTTGGTTCCGAATTGTGATGGTTGCAAACGCGGTCTTTGGACCTCTGAAAGTTTGCAAAGAACAAGTTGTTGCTTTGTTTCGGCTACATTCCAGTAGTGAAGCTTTTCATGTCTATCTCAAGAAAGGCAAAAACACCCCGAGGGAACCTGCAGTCCACGTCTCGCCCCCCCGACACCCGTTGCTGTGGTAGCCAATATGTGGCAAAAGCACCCCAAAAAAAACATGAGCCAAAGCAAGTCTCACCACGCGTTTTGGTGGACAATTCAGGTCAGGATGGTAGAGTGTTGGATTAGAAAGTTGTGAAACGTGAGATGCGAGACACGCCCGGATGCGATCTGAACCATGCTCGACTAGCTTCTCAATATGATGCAAGTGATGACTGTAGCTCTCTACCATTGATGAATGTGTGCTGCAGCAAGTATGGACGGGCAAATCAAGCTCCATCTGAGACCATTGCTCAGGTGTCATACTCCTTCGAACAATAATATCCTCTTCAGGGTTTGGAATCAAAGTGATCTTTGACCAGGTTAGGGCTGTGTAAGTTTTGGGGGAGTGTGCTAGTGCCTGACTTGTTTCATGTCACCTTTCGGTGAGGTGTGTTCATGGATCCTTTTTTCCTCGGGCACATTCGTCAGCCTGGCATGGGTTGCTGTGGACAAACCACACACTAACCAAGCCAACAAACACAGGGATCACGTGGCAAGGTCCAGGCTGCCTCAGTGCTTGGACTAGGAGTATTTCTAAAGGGAAAACATAAGGAAACAAAGAAAGAACGGCGCAAGAAAGGTGACAAGATCAATCACCTGTTCTATCATTTAATTGCGTGACTCCATGACCTCCATCATTTTGTACCTCCATGGACAGCAGATCAGCAGATTGCGCCTCATCTGCGGTAGGCGCTACTGCCAGCCTCCTAGAAGCGGAGGAGGCATTTTCACCAGCAACAAGCAAAGGATTCGGCAGTTCCCTCCAACCAGGTCCATGAGGCACTCCCTTTAACTGACGGGCGGGTGGGGCCAGCAATGACTGCTGAGATTCGCTGCATCCCCAGAGCCCTGATCAAGGTGCTCGTTCCAGTGGCCTACAGTGGAATTAGTAACCGTTGGATATAATCCGGCATTCCAAAATGCACGAAAATGACTCTATTCCAATAGGTGTGCTGTATCCTTGGCGGTGGTGCACCACTCTACTTCCAAGCACAATGAAAGTTGTTTGATGTCAGCAATGTCTGCTTCAATGATTGATCTGTCACGATCGTGGAGGATAGCCGGATTATCCTCTGACTCCCATCCATTCGTCAGAATTCTTACCATAGAGGGGCCCCTTAAAGTTCGTAAGCTCAAGGAGAAATTGACGTACACTAGAACCAGATTGGTGAACAACAAGCCCTTCCCAGACCAACAAGTGAGGTTAGCGATCTGCTTGAGTGTATGTATAGATGGTGCTGCTCTCTCTCTCTCTCTCTCTCTCCGCTCTGTTCAGTGTCTTAGAGTGCTTTCGACCAGGTGGGAGAAGAAAATTCTGAGCTCAGCAAGAGAGAATTGGTCAATTGGCATCTGTTGTCTTTCATTGGCATCTGTTGTCTTTCTCTCACCATTTCATGTACCCAGTCCTTGTTGGGCAAAAGCCAAGGCCTTTAAAAACAAACAAAAAGCTACAGTAATTCCCTACTGCAGGCTCCACTTCTCTGTCTTCCCTCTTCCGGCTTAAAGCTGCCTTTGCCACCTTTGCCTTTGCCGCTCTTGCTGCGCTTTTTGCCTTTCCCTTGTTGGCCTCCTTGCAAACAGCACGAGTATCTGAAAGGGACGCAGGAAACCAACCAATGTTGTAAGCCCATGCAGGGAAGCAGGATCCTTCGCAACGTAATTAGGCCATCGGCGGCTTTGAGCAGGGTTCTCAAGCACTTGCAGGAAGACATCTGTCCATCGTTTCTATTCCACCCTCATGCAAAAAAAACACACACTTCACCCGTTTCCTAGACTCTTGCATTGTGCATGGTCTCAGCATCTTCAGGAACTTTCGGAGAAAACAAAACGCCTCCACCTCCTGCCACACCACTCTGCAACGCCTCAAAAAATGGTCGACCGACGCTGCACTGATAAAGAAACAGAACGAGACCGAGAAGTTAAAAATACGGTAAATGATTGTAAATTCCAGTAATAAATTATCGTATTGGTAGGGTACATGGAATATAGTCACTATATTGGTGTCTTACATCATTACGAACTCGATCTGTGTCTCCTTCTGTTAGGGCCGCGGTCTTCTGTGTTTGCTTGCTAAGAGGATTTCGTGACGAGAAAAATCAGAGTAGACAAATGCTCAGAAAATCTGCCTGTGTTATGCTGCGCTCGCCCAAAATCCCTTCCGGGTCCTATTCCGGGTCCTATACCCTATACCCTTTGGACGACCCCCCAATGGCCGGGATCGATCTTCCTTCGCGAACGGCGAACGCCGGCAGCGCGCCGCACGCCGCGCCGCACGCCGCGCCGAACACCGCGCCCGAGTGACCTCTGCAGAGCCAAAGCCAAGCTCTTCCAGCGCTTCCTGCGGCGGGTCGAGCTGGCCAGCGAAAGCACACGAACAGGAGGAAAAACCACGGACCGAAGATGTAACTGAAAGATGTCATTGGAACACACAGTGTTTTTATGTGTTTTTATGTCTTTATCTTGAAGAAACTTTTCGTAGAGGAAGAATGAAGATGAACAGTCTTGGCAGGGGACAATTCCGTGCACTTCTCTTTGCTTAATGTTGGACTCACCAACCAGCTCTGCGAGCCGGTTCAGTTGGAAACACACCCAAGGTACCAGGGGCATCCAGGGGGGCACACGATGTGAAACTGAACGACCCCGCAGAGGAAATCCTCCGGATCAACGTCCAACGTTTTTCCCCTAATCCTCATTCGCTCTCCTGAACTTGCTGGACAGTAGCACTGTTTCGCATCACCTCCTGAATGTCGAAGAGAGCTCCTGCGCTCCAAATCTGGCGCGCCAATTTTGCGCTAAATCCCGATCTGTAAAGTTCACGCTGTGCACTTGTGTTTCGGCAGTTCGAACTGTTTTCGACCTTCACTTACCGTCGTTCCCTCTCAAGACTGGGAGGGCAGTTGCCTTGCAAAAAGGCGCGGCCGCGGCGCTTCAGTGCGCCCTCTTGTTTTCGTGTTTGCGGACTTCGGGTGCCGCTGCTACCTTTTTCGCATTGGTAGCGGAGCCTCCTCCGGGGGGCTCCGAGTCCTTTGCGCGAAGAAGAACGAGGTTCTGCATAAGTCCTTTGTCACGAACCCTTGGCCGAGCTCTTTTGTTTCCTCGTTGAAGAGCCCTTTCGGTCTTGGCTACTTGTTTGAGAATGCCACCAACGACATCGGCTGCAGAAGGTTCCAAGGATGGTGACTACCTCAACCTGCGCGACTCCTTCGTTCCACTGTTCAGTGGACAACCCCAGGACTACAAAGAGTACAGAAAGAGGCTGATGCTCTACCACCACAAGATGAAGATCAGCAAGCGCTCAGCCGAGTCCGTCCTGAACATCCTGGGAAGTTTTCAGGGTGTGACGCGGCGGTTGTTCGAGGACTTCTCAATTGAAGAGGCTGAGAAAGAGGATGGCTTCAGCAAGATCATCACCAAGCTCGACAAGAATTTCGAGTATGACGATCGTGTGCTCCTTCCGAATGACTTTGAGGAGTACTTCAACTTGTTGCAAAGGAAGCCACAGCAAAGCCTCCTGTCCTTCGTCACCGACCATGACACCGCCTATCGTCGTTTGACTGCCCACAATGTGACTCTTCCAGTCCAGGTTCAAGGATGGCATCTACTCCGACGTGCTGCTTTGTCAAAGGAGCAACGCCAAATGGTGACGCTGAAGGCTCCTACGTTGGAAAAGAATCCTGTCATCGAAGCCCTGTACCTGCTGTTCGGTCAGGACTACAAAGCAGGCGGCTGGAATGCTGAACGTGATCGAAAGTTCAACCGCTGGAAGGGCCGCGGCTACGCCGCATTCGATGAAGAAGATGCCTACTGGTCCGAGCAACCCTGGACAGAAGACGCCTACTATGAGGCCGACGACTGGTATGATGACACTGCCCCTGACGATGAGGCTGACTTTGACTATGACGCCATCTACTACGGCGAAGAGGATGAACCTGGAGAACACCATGACCTGTCCGAAGATCCTCAAGAGTTGGCCGAAGAGTATGACCACGCCTATGCCACCTACTTGGATGCCCGGCAAAGATTCCAGCAGCTCAAGTTGGCTCGTGGCTACCTGCCGATCGTCGCCCTCACTGATGGCCAGAACGCTTCGCCCGCCTCTGGATCCTCTTCACCTTCGAAGGGCGCCGGCAAGAACAAAGGAAAGGGCAAGAGCAAAAGCAAAGGAAAAGGAAAGAATTTGGTGCGCTATCCACCCTCCTCAGGTGGAAAGGCTGATCCAAAAGGTCGTGCAAAGGCAACTACATGCCTTCGTTGTGGCCAACCAGGTCATTGGGCAGCGCAATGTCCACAAGGTGCGAAATCACCCTCATCGTCCAACAAGAGACCTGCACCCACTGAGGGTATGGCCTTGCAGAATGAGACCGCCTTGGTCCTGTTCCAGGATGAGATGGGCACCGACCGACCGGATGCCACCATGCTTGACCCAGGTGCATCTGCCTTCCTGTGCGGATATGGTCCATTCGGCCGCTATTTGAGCCACTTGCACTCCATGAACTACCCCATCAACACCATCCGCTTTGCTCGATGTGACCGCCAGTTCCATTTTGGCGGCGATGCATCCTCACGAGCTTCATGGACAGTGGATCTCCCGGCGATGATCGATGGCCAGTTCGGCGCGATCCAATGCTACCTGGTTCCTGGCAACACGCCAATGTTGATGGGCCGACCTGTGATTGAGGCTCTGCACATGGGCATCGACTTCAGCCAGAAGCGCATTCGCTTTGGGCAATCGCCTTGGACCTCAGTGCTTGTGGGCCGCCATGGCGAGTACTTGTTGAGCCTCACCACTGGCATGGAGGAAGTACCTGATCCCACGAAAACCCTATTCAGCCTTCGCATTGCTGAGGAAACACCTGGCAGCCATCTCCACTTCGAGGACTTTAACAAGCTCGAACATGTGTTTCAGGCTGAAGATGTGGCTCTAGCAGGTGGCGAATTGCAATCCACTCGCCTTCATCGACATGCCCTTCGAACCATGGAGACTCAGTTGGTCACTACCTCAAACTCCACCGAAGCCTATATCACTCAGGAGCTTCACAATCCTCCCGACCATCGACGAGTTCTCTGGGAAATCTACTGTGGCAAAGCTCGCACTGGCCACATCGCAGAGGAGCTTGGCATGAAGGTGGAAAGATTTTCTTTGGACAATGGCTGGGACTTCAACCTCATCAGCCATCAACAACATCTACTCCAACGACTTGATGAAGAAGAACCTGATGAAGTGCTGGTGGCACCAGAATGCCGCCTGTGGTCAAGAATGCAAACCTTGGCTTGTCGCACCCCTGCACAGCAAGAAGCCTTGAAGGCCCGACGTGAGCACCACCATCGTCGCCATCTCTGCTTTGTCAAGCGCATCTACCTACGACAGGTGACCAATGCACGGCATGCCCACTTGGAGCAGCCCCGACATGCCTTGAGCTGGAACACGATGGCTCTCCGAGATCTTCCTGGTTACTATGCCGACTTCGACCAATGCCGCTATGGAGCAATGTGCATGGACACCGACGGCATCTGGCGACCTGTCCAAAAGAGCACTCGCCTGTTGACCACAAAGCAGGCTGTTTTAGAGGCCTTCCAGCTGAAGTGTGACCATGACCACTACCACTGCCCCTTGGAAGGTTCTGCTCCTGGCTATGGCCGCCGGACCACCTACTTGGAAGACTACCAACCTGGCTTTGCAGCGACACTGGCTGCTGCCTTGGCTCGTCCTGAGACCGCTCAACTGTGGGACACCGCCTATGTGGTCGATGAAACTAGCAAGAAAGAGACCGGACACCTCCTCAAGCTCAAGTCTGAACACCGACAAGATGCTCTTCGAACGGTGCAACGGCTACACCGAAACCTTGGCCATCCGGCACCTGATGCTCTGGCTGATCTGTTGACCGCCAGAGGAGCTCATCCCACTGTGATCGCCGCTGCCAAGGAGTACAAGTGTGTGGCATGTCTGAAGCACAAGAAGCCCAACCAGGTTGCTCCATCATCCATGCCACAGCCCAAGACCTTCAACGAAGTGATTCAGGCTGACGTTTTCTACCTCAGGCCAGCAGACCGCAAGTTTGCAGTGCTGAGCATAGTTGATGTTGGCACCAAGTTCATGGCAGCCTACCTGCTTCATGAGGAGACCTCCAAGTCCTACATCACCGCTCTGGAAAAGATGTGGGTTCGCCATTTTGGCCCTCCCAAGAAGCTGATCTCCGATGAAGGCCGACCCTGGCTTGGTGCACCGTTTGAATCTTGGACAAGCTCACTTGGCATTGACCATCAAGTAGCACCAGGAGAAGCTCATGAGCGCCTTTCGTTGGTTGAGCGCCGTCATGCAGTGCTGCGCCGTGCCTGTGAGGTCTACATGGGTGACCGCAAGCTCAACGACGCTGCTGGCATCAAGGAAGCACTTTGCTATGTGATCCCACAGCAGAACGCCACACCTGCAGTTGCTGGCTTCTCGCCCAGTCAATGGGTTCTTGGCTTCCAACCTGAGCTGTCCCACCTCATGGACTCCAACCTCAATGCAGCTCAACTTGCTGGCAACAACAGCTCATTTGAGGAGAACCTTGAGCGGCGAACTGCTGCAAAGATGGCACTGGCATCTGCTGATGCTGACTCCAAGCTGCGACGAGCTCTCAGTCGCAAGTACCAGGGCCAGAATCGAGTTTTCCAGTTGGGAGAAAGAGTATGGTTTTGGCGTGATGCTCGCCAAGGAGCCCTGAACAAGATCAGATGGCTTGGTCCTGCCCACGTGGTTCTTCGTGGAGAAGATGCTGAAGCTGATACTGCAGCTCCAAAGGTCAAGACCTACTGGCTCGCCTACAAAACACAGTTGATTCGCGCTGCGCCTCACCATGTCCGTGCAGACATCCTCGGACCTCAGCACGTGCTCGAAGACCTGCAATCAGCCCTCAACAAAGTGAGACAGCTGAAATCCCGTGGAGTCACTAGATTCTACGACTTGAGACGGGTGAACCGCCAACAGCTGGATGATGTCGAGGAAGATGAACAACACACTGACCCTGATGGTCCTCTGCTGGAAGAAGATGATGATGAGCCTCCCAGGCATCGCTTTCGCCTGGAGCCACCCGTGCCGACTGCAGAAGCACCACCACAGATCATCGTGCCCGATGATGAATATGAGCCTACCTCACCTGCTCATTCCAGCTTTGCACCGACGTCTCCCAGAGCACCACCAACACCAGTGATGGCAGAACCAAACATGTTGCTGCCCATGGCCCCAGCCGAGATCACTGTACCAGGTTCACCAGCCACCACTAGGTCCCGCTCACGGGCTCCTACTGTGGTCGAACCCAGCGAAGAGCCAACCATACCATCTGCAGCACCCACACCACATGCTGCATCACCACCGGCCATTGCAACAGCACCTCAAGCATCAATGTCAGGGCCTTCACTGGACCCTGACACTGCAGCATTGTATGAACCAGTCGATGCTGAAACCTTTCAACAACGACGAGTTCGCTTCAACAGACAGGAGACACTTAGTTTTGGCCCCCTGCGAAGACAGCGCATTGGGTCACCACAGCCATACAACACGACGTCACAAACAACAACACCAGAAGCAGAATACAACAGTGCAGAGCACAACACACAAGCAACAGCGGCAGCCGCAGAAGCGCCAGCCCAAGTATCGGCAGCTCTAGCTGCTTCGGATGATCCTGCTCTCTATGCAAGTCAGAAGGCGCCTGATCACGCCTTGCTGAATCATGCCTTCCAAGTCTCCGGCATTGAAGCCAACTGCCTGCCAAAAGGTTGGACCTATGAGAATGGCTACTTCCAGCTCGACAAGAGAGACCGCGACTTCTGGGAAGTCAAAGCCGGATGTTTGATCAGACACCATGTGATCCCTCGACGATCCAAGATGTGCCTGCACCAATTGCCAAAAGACAGCCCCTTCACCTCAGATCAGCTTGATCTGGTTCGGGTGACCATTATGTATGACAACAACGGCAAAAGCATCCAACAGACCGACGATGGCTACACGGCTTCCACTCCCTTGGATCGCTCCTGGACTGGAGTCACGATCTTCCAGATCAAAGGCGACCTTCGTCGAGAGATGGCCATGTTCGCTAAGGCCCCACTTCAAGGAGCACGACAGCTTGGCAAGGAGACCAAACTCCGGCACGCCAAAAGCTTCAAGAAAGACAAGAACAAGAACAACCTCTCGGAGCGCCACATGACTCCTGATGAGCGAGCAGCCTTCAAAGCTGCAAAGGTCAAAGAGTTGCAATCCTTCTTTGACAACCACGTCTGGCAGTTCGAGACCACCAGAGAAGCTGAGCCCAGTCGGACGCTGACCAGTCGCATGCTGCTGAAGTGGTCAAAGAATCCTGATGGCAGCCCCCGTGCCAAAGCCAGGCTCATTGTCAGAGGCTTCATGGACCCAGACGCTTGGGAAGGAACTGTTCCAACCTCATCGCCCACAACCACGAGGCTGTCGAGATCCATGTTGTTGAGTTTGGCCTCCACCATGCAGTGGCCAATCTGGACTTCAGACATAGCAACCGCCTTCCTGCAGGGTCGACCTCAGACACGCAAGTTGTGGGTGCAGCTTCCTCAAGAGTGTTTGCAGTTGCTTGGAGCTACAGCTGACACCCGTATGTTGCTTCTCAAGCCCTGCTACGGCCAGATCGATGCCCCGAGATCTTGGTTCATGGCTGCAGTTGATAAGCTGAGCGCTATGGGCCTCCGACAGCATCCTCAAGACCCTTGCTGCTTCTTGATCTATGAAGGTGACCTCAACCCTGAGTATGACACCACAGCTGAGCACTCCAACCTGCTTGGACCTCATGGCCTATGTGGTATGGTCATCATGCACGTCGATGACATGCTTGGTTGCGGTACGCCATCCTCCCAGTGCTACAACGACACCATCACCAAGCTGAAGAGCACCTTCAACTTCCGTGAATGGAAAACTGGTGATGATGGAAAGCCCTTGACCTATTGTGGTTGTGACATTCAGGTCAAGGATGATGGTCTCCTCCTCAACCAGACCAGCTACATGGGAAAGGTGAAACCGATCACCTACGACAAGAAGCGCAGCCTCACCGATGCGCTCAATCAGCGTGAGTTGACACAGCTGAGAGGACTTCTTGGTTCACTTCAATGGCCCGCAGTTCAAAGCAGTCCTCACTTGCAGAGCAGCACCTCGATCCTGAGCGGTCATGTCACCAAGGCCACGCTTCAGACAGTGGCCGACACAAATCGCCTGCTGCGTTTTGCAAAAGAAAATGCTGATGTTGGCCTACAGTACAGCCACCTGGGCGAAGTTTCAGAACTTTGTTTGGTATGTTTTTTTGATGCTGCCTTTGCCACCCGCAGTGACGGAGCCTCACAAGCTGGCTATGTGATCCTGATGGTCAACAAAGCTTTGCTTCAGGCCAATGGTCCCGAAGGAGCCTACCACGTGTTGGATTGGCGCAGTTTGAAAACGCCAAGAGTTGCACGCTCTTCCTTGGGCGCCGAAGCACAAAGCGGTGGTCAAGCTTGCGATGCCTTGGAGCATGCCAGCATCTACTGGAGTTTGTTGGTTGACCCTCGCCAGCGACTCCAAGAGCTCTTGGACGCTCCATCCTTGTTGTCGCCCACCATGATCACGGACGCCAAAGCTCTTTACGACTCCTATCACCGAGAAGGAGTCGGAAGCTCTGTGGTTGACAAGCGAGTTTCGCTTGAGATCCGTGTGATGAAGGATCGCCTGTCTTCACTGGGCGGTTCTTTGAGGTGGATGTCATCGGAGCGCCAACTGGCTGACGGTTTGACAAAAGAGTCGGCCAGAGCACTTCTTGCACAACGGCTACGTCACGGTCGTTTGAAGCTTGTTTGGGACCCCTCATACAAAGCTGCCAAGAAGAAGACAAAAGCTGAGCTCCAACAGAGTCTTGCTGAAAGCATCCATGTGGTACCACCACATGTGATCAATGAGGAACCCGAAAGCATCCATGTGGTACCACCACATGTGATCAATGAGGAACCCAACCTCCACGAGGAGCACCAGCAGCCCATCGACGAGAATCCTGCGGAGAATGACGTGAATGTCGATGAGCAGGTGTTTTGGAATGAAGAGATTTTTCGGAATTCCAAGGTTCCTGTGAATGTCATGTTTGCCAGGACCGACCGGAAGCTTGAGTATGTCTCCGACAGTCCGAGCCATGTCGGAAGCCGCCCGCTCGAGTCCTACCGCGGTCGTAAGACGAATTTCATGTTTTGGTTCTTGCTTTTGTTCATGGCCCCGCAGCTGGTCACGGCCGATTCGGCCAATGTGGAACCTGAAGCTGGAATGGAGTGGTTTGGAACTGCTTTGCGCACCCTCCTTCTACTTTTTTTGAGCACAGCCTTCATGGTTGGTCGATGGAGCCATGATGCACACCACCGAGTACCACCCCAGGTCACTGAGGCTGCAGTCCAAAAGGATGAAGCGATCATCCCAGCTCGCCTTAGAGAAGAAGTCAAACGCCTGAAGCAGGAAGTCCTGCGCTGGAGTTCCAAAGCCGAGGAGTCCCGCCTTGCTGCTGTCGAAGCCACGACAGCGATGAATCTGGTTCTGAGAAACCAGAATGCTGCTGAGACCCTTGCACAGGAAGCCTCCCAGATCCTGAAGATCGCCCTGAGGCAGATGGATGAGCATGGAAATGAATGCCCCTTCTACAATGGCATGATCATCAGCCGGCATGGCGCCAGATGGCACACGACCTTGAACTGTTCAAGCCTGGCCGGAAGAGATGAAAGCCTGCAGCGGCGAGTAGATTTCTGCCGCCTTTGTAGTTTGAGGGTGATTCCACCTGACCATGTCGATGATCGGTCAGGCTCATCTGTGCGGACCTTGGTCTACCAATGGCTGGACCGGTTCGAACAGCGGAACTGGGGTGATGACGAAGGACTCTCCCCCATGTAAAGTTCACGCTGTGCACTTGTGTTTCGGCAGTTCGAACTGTTTTCGACCTTCACTTACCGTCGTTCCCTCTCAAGACTGGGAGGGCAGTTGCCTTGCAAAAAGGCGCGGCCGCGGCGCTTCAGTGCGCCCTCTTGTTTTCGTGTTTGCGGACTTCGGGTGCCGCTGCTACCTTTTTCGCACGATCCAATATCTGTATTACAACCTCATACAACCTCTGTGCCATTTCAGGCGTTTTTACTACTTTTAGGCTAACGAGCTTGGAAGTCAAACCACACAGTAAAGGACCGGGTGGTCTTCTTCTCAGCTGATCGACTTGTTGGAAAAATGGAATGATCCGACTAACACTCCAAGCTGAGTCTCACACACGATACGTTCTGAAAGATTAAATGTTCTTCTCCAGTTTCTCAACTATTTGCAGCTTTCGTATAGCTTTCTAGTGATTTCTTCGACTGCATCCCATTGAGATCTCTTCACCAAGGAGTTTGTAGATGAACTCCTTCTGCACTCCTCCCATCTGCTCCCGCGCCTTCGGGCGCCTCGGTCACGACCACGTGCTCCTTGAGGTCCAGTAGCTCCTGGCGCGACAGGGGTGTTTCCGTGGCTCATGGGCCAAAGCCCTGCTTGCCCCGTCCTGCTGTTCAACTGCTAATCGTGGAATGAATCTGAATCAATGAACATGAATTGACCATGGACCGTGTTCATTCAAAATTAAGATCAATCAATGTTAAAAGGGGAATCTTCTACAAGCCCACCAACATGACCAACGTCACCGTGCCGACCCCGGATTCCTCCGAACATCGTCCCATCTCCGTCCTCCAGGGACACGCTCAAAGTTCGACCGGCGGCCTCCTGCCAAAGGGCCAAGCTTTGGCCAGCAGCACGTCCTCTCTGCTCGCTCGCTCGCCGTTCGCGCTGGGGCGAGACGCGCGTTGGAGGTGCGCGGAGACTGTTTCGGAGAACGTGGCAAGGTGAGGCTGCGGGAGGCTGCCAGCTTCTTGGAAAACGGGAACTTCCAAAACATGAACAATGATGAAAGCCGTTGTTTTTTTCGGTATCAGAAAGCCGTCTAAAGCTGCCAACATCGGCAGCCAAAGGTCTCAAACACCCACGAAGTGCCCGAAGAAAATCTGACACTCACGTTCTTCGCCCAAAGCTTTGGAGTGTCTATGTGTCTATATTATATGTCTATATATGTCATGTATCTATATGTCTCTATTGTCTATGTCATATCTATTTTGTGTTATGACAATATATAGACATAATAATAGATAACTATACATAACACAAAAATAGAGATATATATATAGACATAACCCTATACAAACATAATAGATATACATAACACATATAGCTTATATAACACATAAGTTCTCTTTTCTTGTGTCTATGTCTTGCTCGTCGTCGCGCTCCTTGGGACGCAGATCCACCGGCGCGGCCGCTCCTGAAGCGGCAGAAGCGCGCGGGGTTCCGGGTGGGGCCCAGGTTGTGTTGTGTTCCCCAAGACTAAGCGGTTACATCAGCTAGTGATGGTGAAAACAGAAAAAAAAAAGAAAAAGGATTTGGGCTTCTGCTGTGGCTTTGGGATATTTCAAGCTGGTTCAGCTACAATGATCAAAGGAAAGCACTTGCAGACCGTCTTCCAAAAGTGCACCCAAGCTCTTTGCAACCAAACTCCATGTCCAAATGCACCCCCGCGGTTACTTCTTGTTCCATCTTCTTTGTGAATATACGATCATGGCATCTCTCTGTACGTGCAAGCAATATGCACCCAGCAAATCGCAAATCCACCAGATCTCATTGATCTCACATCACCATACCACCCACATCCACCACAGCAACCCCCTGAAATCGCTGCCCAAGTGGCAGGCTGTGGGCCACGGCAAGCATTAACGGTACCCGATCAATTTGTCGGGCGAAGCCAAAGAACTTGTTCTTAAAGGTCCGGAGGCTTTGCCTCGGAGCCAAAACGCAAAGCCAAGCCATGGCATGATGCAAAGGGTCCAAGGGTGATGGTTGGCTTCCTTTTTGAAGCACAGAAGAGCTGCTCCACATAGTTTGGAGCAGCAAAGGCTGAAGATTCGACATGAAAGTAAAATAACACAAAATAACGTTGTTTGGGCATCATTCCCAACAATAGAAGACTGATGAAGGCTGAACCTTTGGTTCCAAGTTCAATGAAGTCGGCCTCTCCCCTTCTCTGCGCTTCTCTTTCAACTCAATTGATCATTTCACCATATTTCACCAAGCTTCTCCACCACTTGGGCTTTCCGTGCTTCACCACGGGCCACTCGTGCACAGGCATTTTCAATGGAAGCGCGCACTGTAGGCAGCACTATCCTCGACGCACACTGTGTCGAAGATGTGCTGGAAGCGGCCAAAATCACGTCACAAGCATGGGATCTAGCCTAGTAAATCATTCACACTCCGACTCCTCATCTCTTCAGCAGCTTGTGTACTACTAGTACCACTTACATAGCCTAGATAGACTTACTCATCTTCTGGTCCAAGCGACTCGGGATCGATGAGCATATATGCATGGCACAGGGCCAAGCCCAGCTCAGAAGGCTTCATCTGCCGGGTCTGCTCATCCAGTTGGACGTACTTCCTGCAGAAGGGTACCGATGATACCGTGAAAGCCCTGAAATCAGTGGGTTCCTTTTCCATCTTCTTACAGTTGATGAGACCATGTGGTCACAACGTATTCGCCGAAGATGAGTTAGGGCATGCTGTGGCCATAGAGCCCTCGACTTCCAGTGAAAGCAATTGAATCCCTTCATGCCATGGCTGCCATGCTGGCCATAATTGTGAGGCTTTCAAGATGGTTCAAGAGGTCTCGTTCTCCCATTGTGTTCGTCCATTGTGTGAGAAAATGGACAAACCGCCTGGCTGCGAAAAAGAACACCCCACCTTCGTTGGACGTTCCCCACATGTGAGGCCATTGAAGCATCGGTGCCTTAGGTCCGAGCACTCACTTCCCCCCGTCAGCCATGCGTGCACCTGCCAGGGCTGCACACATCTCTTCGATTTACACCACCACACAAGAATCTGGAAAAAAAAACATGCAGAACCATCGGAAGCATCGGAATCCTTCAACGCAATCCTTCAAAGCAGCTCTCCCCTTTCGTCGCCCAGGTGCCAATGCCATGCTGGTCCATCAAGGCCAAGAGCTCGCTCTCGGTCAAGTGCTGCGGAGGCTCCGTGAAGTGCTGCCGCAGCGAGACGTCTTGAAGTCTCAGCACGTCTCCTCCGATCGGCTCGTCTCGATGGAGCATGGAGGACCAAGTCTTGAATGAACTGCACTCCTTGCTGAAAGCCAGCACTGAGATCCACTGCACCAGTGTCCTGCAAACGGCCAGCACTGAAAAAAGCAACAGTTCTAAAAATAATGTCAATGAATAAATGCTCAGAGGTTCCAACTTCTTCAAGTCTCATTAGTCTCATTGTTGCAAGACTCCCAATTGTCTAAAGTAAAAGAACTGGCAGACTCCCAACTCATGCGGCTCGAAACCCTCCATCACTGCAGCTCCATCACTGCATCACCGCACCGGAGCACTCCTGGAGCTGCACCCGTGCCACCCGCGCCCAGCCGAAGGAGGTCATCCGTCCACTGGTGGCGCTGAAGGCGACGTCGCCCAGCTGCAGCTGCACTTCCGCCTGCGTTGAAGGCGGGCTTTGGACGCTCGCGGAACGGTCAACGTGAGGAGGACCAGGTCCCAGGAACACTGGTGGCGCTGGGGAAGGGATCCTATAAGCTCACTCAGAGGAGTCAGTAGAGTCAATCGGTTGGGTGAGGAATGATGTGCTGTAGTGATGGTGAATCGGATTCAATGTTGCCCACTTGAAGTATATTGAAGGACAGGTGGTCTACAGGTTCGGTGGTACTGGTACACACAGGTGGTAGGACTAGTAGGATGTGTTACTGTTGAACACATGCTTTTGACATCTGTGTGTGTGGAATCCGGCCGCACACCGCACGCGGAAGAAGCCGCCTCTCGTAGCGTGGCATCTGGGGAGACGGTGGCCAGGAAGTGACGACAAACCTCTTCGTAAAGGGCCTTGACGGCCACGTGAAAAAGGAACGTTCGACAAGACGTTGTGAGACGGACGGCCAGAAATGAGTTCTAATTTTCTGGACGTGATACGTTCATTTTTGTTCATCAAATCCTCTAATCGACTCTAATACTAATTATGTTCTTTTCTCTCTTTATCTCTCCTTTTCTTCAATTCGCGGCATCATTCCATATACTGGCTTAGAAACCTCACAACAAATATATATATATATATGGCTTCTCTAGTTGATGTACGCTTTCTGAGCAGCATCACCCAGTGCGCGTCAGAGCCACACTGGCTCCGACTGGCACATTTCACCTGGCGCTTCGTATAACAAGGACATGCCAGAAAAGCCATGAATGATGTGAAATGAAACCAAAAACATCCAAAACCAATGACTTGAAAGGGAGAGCTGAAGAGTCAACAAGAGACAACAGAGCATGGCAACATGCATCAATTGGTGTTTGGAGTCTCAAAGCACAGGCCAGCTGCCGCCGGTGTGATGGGTGGATGATCACCGACGTCATGACCATCCTGCAGTCCATGGCGGAAAGCATGCTATAGGTTAAGAGCGGATCAAAGGACAAAATCTCAGTGCCCGGATCGGACCATGTACTCACTAATGTGCAAGTGGAAACCGCCCTGTTTGTAAAGGAAAGTCATCTTCCAAGGTGCCATGTTCTACTTCCACGTGAGATTGGACACTGTAACACCAAAGTCCCTACCACATGCCCGACAACACCAAGGATTCTGCAAGTCAACATGTCAAAACACTATACTCATCTATACTCCATGTTTTCAACAGTTCAACCTTTCGAAATCTCGGCTGCTCCAGAAAGCGACCCAAAACACGGAACACCGCGACCAAAAGGTTCCACCTCCCGTGGTGCGGTCAAACCAGAGGTGGCCAGCTGCTGCGCGAACTGCCACGCTTTCCAATGGCACATCCATGGAAATCCGGTGTCCACATGCGAAATCACCCGAAAATCCCGTGACAAAGCTGAGATCTGAAAACTGGTTCGTCCAATTCGCTCGAGGCAAAGTGAATTTGACTGGAGCAAGGCAGCAAGTTAGGATCAAGAGAACAATAGCACTCATGAATTATAGCGACTGGCAGACTTCCAACACCAAACTCACCCGATTTGTCCCTGTGCTTTGCCACACAGCGCCTGCGCCCATGGGAGGTTGGGTTCTGCCATGCTGCGAACCTGAATTTTTTTCGCATACATTTCAGAATATCAGAATGCTCATGTTCTTGCCCAGACACTCCACGTATGTGAGGTGGTTTGAGGGGTCAATTGATCGGCATATACGGCAGTCCCATTAGTCGTGTCTGGGTAATGCTCCTGTTCTTGATTCTGGAGCTCATGACTGCCATAGACACGGTGCTTATATAGTCTTTTTGAATCAGGTCAACCACTCGGAGAGTCGAACCAAGTGTGCCAGGGAGACTTGTCCGGTGTCCCCGCCCCAACCCAGACCAGGTGCCCCAAGCCGTTCCTTCCAGGTCGAAGTTCTCGGGATATTTGTCCTCGGGGGCAAGGCGTGCACGTGCGCATGCGGGAAAAAAGGGTCATCGATGGATCTGCTTCAAACGTTGAGGGTCTCGAAGTCGAACTGCTTCTGCAAGATCTCTCGTTGCTTTCTTCCCAGGTCGGTCAGTGAAGTCCGGATCCAAAGAGCCTGATAACAAAGCTGTGCCTCCGGGCTGTCTCGGTGCGCGGATATGAGAGAATGCCTGGCAAATCCAGCAGGCGGTGATTCTGATTATATAAATAAAAGAACTTGCAGTGTAAGTGCAAGAATTGTGAGTGTTAAACAACAATTGTTCTGAAGAACATGTTGGAATATATGCACGAAGATGATCAAACATGCTCTTGTGTAAATGGCAACGCCGCATGTTGTCACACACTTCTTCCCACTTCTGTGACGCAATACCTTGCGTCCAACGGCGGCTTTCCGTCGAAACCGGTCGGCACCTTTCAGGTACAAGGCTTCCGCTACGTGAAGGGCATCGTCAGGACCCAGCCCTGCGTGACGCCGGGCGCGTGCAGGAAAAGGGTGCGGGAACCCCGGAGAAAGAACCAAGCTGCTGTCAGCTGTCAGCTGATTAGGTCGTCGGGAAGGGAAGAAGAAAGGAATGTCGATTCCAAAAGGCCAAAAGGTCGGCGGAAAAATGTTTTGCTGGAACGTGCAGCCCTAGTTTTCTACTGATTACAGATATGTTTTTTCGCCTGACTTGAACCCTTTAGATGTTCAACCATATGGCCGGTAATGTGAACGTAGGCCCCAGATTGACAGGTCTCTCGCCTAAAACCTGGGAGGCCATTTTCAGCATCTCCACCTAAGTTGGCGGCAAAAAAAAGGCACAGAAAATCCATTGAGATCCCGAAGACCCAAGTTGAGGACTTTTGGAAAAAAAGTGACGTGTTTGATGGGGCTGAAGGGACAAAATGCAACCAGTCAAAACAGCACCTAGGGTAGCTGCTTGAGAAAATGTTCAACTCCACTCCACGCTGTTCCTCTAGTAAGTGTTCTGGGTCTAGTCCAGGTGTTTGCCCTCGATGATACATGAGTTGTATAATATAATAGTAAGTAGATGCCAGAAGTTTGCTCTTCCACTACCCAAGGCTGTGACAGACGAATCAGGCCACCCTGCGGTATTCAAAGGCCGTGGCCGTCGATAGGAGCTGAGCCTTAGAGAGGGTGCTTGGGACAGCAAGCATCAACATCCAGAAACCAGATTCGGCTAGATGTTCGCAACATGTTGGGTAAACGAGGGGGGGCTTGCCCCGACTGCAACATGCAGAGGGCCAGAAAACCATGTGCTTTAGATTGTATTTTTGGCTTTCGGATGTTTTCGGGACACTCAACTTATCAGTTCACTAACTCCAAGACGAGAACTTGAGTGCATTTTTAAGACCATCCAAAGACCAGTCAGTCCTATCCTCGAGTCTCTCCCGTCCTCCCACCTGGTCCATGATCTGCAACTCGAGGATTCTTTTGCGCCACGACATCAGTCCTCTTCCCAAGTGGGCCATGACAGCTCACTGTACATTTGAGCTGACGGACAAATGTCTTGCGCAGTCTCTGTGTATTTTCACAGCCTGCGGCAGCACTGCAGCATTGAGTCCAACCCTGGATGTTGGCTGAACAAGAACATTGTCGCCATTGATCGGATGTTCCTCCACCGTTGGCATTCGCGCATCCGAAGAACACCGTACAGGCGATTCTGTCAAATCGATCACAGGTTGCCACTGAGACCGCTTGGCAATGAGGCCGGCGAGTCTAAAACAAGAGTTGTGGTCCGCGTGGCCCGTAGCGGCGAACGCTCGCACGCTTCCAACCTAATCCGGCGTGACACATTGCGTGTCCATCAAAGGCTCTGTAGAATTGTTGACATGTCTGTTTTGCTCAACATCTCTGATTTGCCATAAACGACAAACAGAACTAACGACAGTGACAGAACTAACGACAAACAGAAACAAACCTCGAACGTCGAGCCCGTCATGTCCTCTAAGCCAAAAGCGCAACGCGAAGGTCAGATTAACCGCGAACGCAACGTCACGACGTCGGCAAAGAAATGTGAAGTTCGGTTTGCGCAACTAGTAACACAAACGAAACTGTCCCCAGCCCCAGACCCCCCCTGAGAACCCTGTTCCGTGGTCGGAAACGTGTGCTTTCCGGGCAAACACCCGCCCTTGACCCAACATGTTGCAGCCTGGTTTGGGGATGTTTAGGGAACCAGCATGAACCAAACGATCTGAGCTGGATGCAGAAGTTCTCCTTTCAAAGTGCTTCAGCTCAGAGCTTCACCAGAGCTGTTTCGGGCCATGCGAGGAACGCTCTCTGAGTCCTCCGAGCCAGCTTCGTTGCGACGTGACCACCGCGGACTCGGAGGCTCGTGCTCGCTGCAGCAAGACGCGGGCCTCGCTGCGAGTCGTGGCAGGACGAGTTTCAGAGTCCGGTCGTGGCAGAGCCCGTCTTAGGCAGAGCTATGGACCATAGCCAAAGCAATACTGGCAATAATTGACGTGTTGAGTCAAATCCGGGAATGCGTTTTGCAGGTCGAGTGCTGCTGCTGCTTAGAGCCAGATCAGCCAGCTGGCCTCATTCTCCTGCCAGATCTTCCCCATTTGGCAATGCGCTTGGAAGCTCGTCTGCCCTGGCGGCCGGAGTTTGGGTTGGCCTTTTCCGAGCTTTGGCCGAACTCACCATGCAAGCTGTGGAGACTGCTCCCAGACCCGAAGAAATGAGACACCAGGAGGTGCTGTTTGCGCAAAAACATTCCAAAACAGCATGGTGTAGGACTCGGAAAAGCTCCGATCTTCCTCGCAGTGTTTTCAATCAGGCCTGGCCTGGGCCTGCTGGCAGTGTGGCTACCAGGCGCCAGTAGGGCTCTGGCACAAAGGCTTCAATTTGCACCTGAGACGAAAAGGACATGAGGAAATGGTTCGTGCTTCGTGCTTCGTTCCCAGTTGTGTGGTTTCCGAAAACCGATGAAACTCCAAAGGACGGAGTGGGGTGCAGACCACTGACTGAGTCAGAGGCCAAATGACTGAGTCTGCGCGCTCCTCTTCTCTACAAACACCGGCGCTCCCCTGAGGTCTCGGACATGCCGATGAACGCAGAACCACAAAGTGGGAATTTGACAGGGCCCGTACCTCGACGATTCGAACTTGCGTCCGAATGCATCAGTTCACAAAAAAGAATTCGACTTTGTGATGTCCTGAATGCTGGAATGTTAGCAAAGTCTGTTGAAAGAATGCAAACAGATTGCAAAAAGCAACTTGGAGTTGTGGGGTTGACAAATTGGGAAGCTTGTGTGAAAGACCCCCCGCTTCAAAAGAGCCAAAAGACCCCTTTGGCAGTCAAAGACATGCAACGAACGCATGGCAGAAGCGACCAATGCAGCCAGCGCACGTGACCATTTGCTTTCCAAGTTGGTGGCCAAAGTGCTTTCGGAAGTACATGGTCTGCAGCCTCTCGTTTGCTTTGCTGCACACTTGGAACACATCTGATGCCCTTGGAATGGCCTTAAGATGCCTTAAGTCCAGTCCTTAAAAAATAATCCTCACATATTTATGTTGCACAAAGAATCCATCATATGTATCTACTTCCCAAATGTGTGAACAGCTCTCAAGCAAAAAACACGTGTTCTTCACATTCTGCGTGAGTTCTTCACTTCACTTTGCTCTTCTTCAAAAAGGACATAAAAATGAGTAAAACGTGATGGAGAGGGTCAACAGACGGTGGTTCTCCAGCTGCGCGCTCCCTAGCCGCGCGTCCGCAGCAGAAGCTCACCTGGAAAAGGCGATGCCCACGCGCAAGTCCAGCTCCTGGATGGAGAGATCCGGCGTGTGCCCTCCCGATAGGTCAGTGTAGAAAGGTACTGGCACAAACAAACAACAGAAATATTGAGCGAAAAGCAAAAAAAGCGCAAGAATCGAGAAAGAAAGAAAGAAAGAAACGAACCAGAATGATTGGATAGCATCTCACTCTATCAGCAAGAGTCTTTGAGTTTGCTTCAGTGACAGCGCCGAGAAACTCCTGGCGCGCATCCACTGACTGCGCTTCGTTTTGATTAGGATGCGCCAGCTGAGTCATTGCTGCCTGAAATAGGGCAAATGATTGATCTGGTAACGGAAGCCGTAAGCATTCGAGACTCACTTGCTGTCGCAGTAGTTGCTTGGTTTTTAGGCATCCCTGACAACGTCAAAAAGAAAAAAGCCTCTACAATCTCATTTCCGCAGTTCTTTTCTGCGTTTTCTTGATTGCATCCTTTGGATGGCACTCGCCTGAAGGTCCTGAGGAGCCAAGGAGCTAAACCTCTCACCGCTCCGTCCGCGTCGGGCACGGTGTCGACAACGGTCGAAAAGCAAACAGAAAGGAACCGAACCATGTGCGAAGTGCGAGTCGCCTTCGCTTTCGCTTTGATTGCTCAACATGGAACTGGGAACGGAACGAGCTAGCTAACTGTTCTACTCTCGTTCAGGAACGCAAGCTCTTCCACTGCCACGGTCCAAAGCCCGTTGCAATCTTGCACTTGAACGATCGAACCTGGAATTTGCCTGGGAACCCCAATGAACCCCGTGAAACCTTGCCCTTTGAGACGTTCGCCACTCCGAGGAGACAACCGAACCCGGACATGGCTCCTTGGAACCCAATACATTCCCTACGACCGAGGAACAACCCATCGACCTCCGTTGGCCCACTCCGCTGATGTCTAGATGACAGCTCCAAAAAGGACATGGAGCTGTCAAAGACCTGGACCGTTTTCGCCGTTTGGTTCGTTCACATCCCTGCCTGGCTCGATAAACCATGCCATGATACGCGTGCGGAAAGGCCTGTCGTGCGCGAGCCGTCGAGCGCGACGTCAGGTCTGCAGCAAACCGTCTGGGGCGCCAACACCACTCGGAGGCTTCCTCGGAATGCAGCCATCTCTACAACTTGGGGATGATCAATGGGATGATGTAGTGTGTCAGTTCGCCAAACCTGTATGGTTGCTCAAAGGTTCAGCTTTTTTTCGGTCGTTTCCTGCCCCTCGTTTCTAAGAGTTCGGTGTGTCGATGTAGCCCGCACGCAGTCCATCATGACAAGGATCATCTGAGGCAATGCCAATTCCATCACCTCGAAGCAAATGTTTTCACCCTCACCTTGGTTTGAGCTGTGCCCACGAGAGGACGACCATCACGACGAGGGGCCAAGCAATGCCATGAGAAGGTAGATGGCAATCTTCCGGGGTGTCCCAATAAAAACACCAAAGGAGCCCCGGTCCAGTTGGGAGTCCAATTGCTTTGAAGTTGGGAGTCCCAGTTCAAGCCGGAACCAACCGAGCTCTGCACGGTCGCAATCCAACCAAAGAATCAGCAGGTCACAGTTCCTGGCTTCTTCAGCAATATGCCTAGGCGCAACTTCAGCTTCTTCAGTTCACCACTGGGATCCGCTGCCGGAGCCGAGTCCAAACCGCATAAGTGGTGGTTCCAAATCCAATGGTGACACAGTTCAGATTGGCCGGCTCCAAGAGCCCCAAGGCGACAGCAAGTTGAAATCAAATCATACCAGTCACAGAATCCAACAGAACCCCAGAAGAATCCACCATATATAATACAAACATCATCAAAGATACAAAACAGAATCTCTGTAAGTTCACTTGCTTCCCACTTCCCAGGCTAACCGCAATTCCCTCCGAGAAATGCCAAGTGTCCCCACGCTGGAATGTTCCCACGGGGGTCATAAGTGCGGACCGTCTGGGCGCTAAAGAGCACGTCCGGGCCTTGTAGTTCACGGTTGCGGCCCAGGTGGGGTGGGTTAGCAGGTGGGGTGGGCAGACGGGTGAGGCGGGTGATCAATAGAAATCGATATATATATATATATACTGTATATATATATGTATATATAGATCAATCATGATCAATGGATCCCCCCCCTGGGAATGACGCGTACTAGTAGGAGTTGGGACTGGCATGTTATAGCGCTGATTCCCTCGAGGAGATCAAAGTAATACTTGCCATCCATGATTGACAAGTCTTTCTTGACCCTTCCAACACCCAAAAGTCAAAAGCGGAGCGGAGCCAAGCTTCTCTACACGGAGGGCAATGCGGAGGGTTGGAGGCTGAGATGCTTTGGAAATGATGAGCGAGAAATGGACCTGAGCCTGTGACCTGAGCCTGGCCCGCTCTGGGCAGAAAAAAAAACCTTTTCTGGGACTCCAGCTATGCTTTTCCCAGTTGTTGTACTCCTGGTCATTCTTGTCATCATGTCGCATCCGCTGCAAAAAAATAGCACCATCTCACACCAAAAGACCAGCAACCGCGCTGGATTGGGCAGTCCTGGCTAAAATCCAGAGAGTAGACGTGACCAGTGGTCGCCGTCACACGAAACCTGCCGTTGAAGACGGACCGGTCTTCTCAAACTTCTCAAAACGAAGATGCATCGGGAAATCATCCTCACTGCTGTATGCTCCAGCCTGCTTGCACGACCTGAGCTGACAGGTCAGGGACGCCCAAATCATCTGGTCAGTGAGAAAGAAAGACTTGCGGGATCACAGAGTGTCTTCATGTTCAAACTATCAGCATCAGCTTTATTTGTTTGTTGCCTAAAAATAGCAGGAGCCATCCTCTTCATTTCTTCTATTGTACAGACTGCAGTATGAACCCAGGTCCAAGTGGCCCATAAAGCTGCCACGGTACTCGTGGACCTGCCGTTTGGTCCCCAAAAAAACGTGGCGTGCCCCCAAGAAGCGGCCAAACGTCGTCACCACAAACATGCTCGGTAGCAGTGATGTGGATTCACAGGAAAGCGGGTCCTCGGTAAATCGTCCTTTTCAAGCCTGGGCTCCCATATTTTCATGTGGCTCCGATGAAACAAAAACAGAAACGAAAGAAGGCCAACCTGCAATGGCTTCCAGCCGGTCTTCAGTTTGCAACCCCGACATGTGCATGGCTGAATTCTCCCGCATCCACAAATCCGAGTCAGGAGTACCGGCGAGCTTGGCGACACACCCTTGCGCTTTTGGGCGCCATTCTGTGGAGGGCAAAGTGCCTGGATGCAACAGCAAATTCTTTTTTTGGCTGCATCGCGTTTCGTCGCCCATGACATCGATGAAATGTGTGAGGCCTGTCTTACTGCATCCATCATGGTCCTCTCCAAACTGGGGGAACCAAGGGCGTTTCTTCTTTCCATCAGGGCCGCCACGGTCCAGTTCTGCCACGGGCCACTCACATAAACACACATAAGAAACCACAAGCCGAAATCAGACATATCTCCTGCAATCGATTTGTCCTTGCTTGAGATTTGGCCTTGTCACCCTAAATCAGTGTCAACATGTGTCAACCCTTATATAGAGCCTTCAACCCTCTTCTCTTCCACCCGCTTCTCGCTTGCCAGATGTCCCGGGACTCGACCTCGGTGAGCGTCGCTGCGATGGAGGGCTTCTCCGCCACCATCAGGATCTGCGGTGGGCGCGGTGGGCGCGGCGAGGGCGGCAAGGGTTTCGTTGGGGGTGGATCTTCCAGGATGGGAGGCCCCGTTGACAGAAGAAAATCCAAGAAAAGAGCAATCCAAGGAGGGGCCCCACTAGACAAACGTCTGGCTGTGCGATACTGAAAGAAAACACATATTTTAAGAAACAATGGGATGAACGCACTGATGAAGGGCTATAATCATTTGGAATGACACCCAAGGCTCAAGGAGTCCAATTATAAGAAATGCATCAAAACCTAGATGAGGATGCGAGCTAGTTGTGGTAGCCCCAGAATGCAAATAAAGCCTTGGGAGTAGACATGCGTAAATTGCATCATCAATATTGGCATGTCCAACAATGTCAACGGCATTTCGTTAACTAGTGTAGAGTCGCTAAAAGCTTGCAAGTCATCGGCAAACTGCTATTTTGGCATGCACTTGCATTTCCGTCCAGTGATAAAGATGATAAAGATCGCCATCCAAAAATTCTGATGGCTCAGGTGCTCACCAACGGCTCCGCCATCGCGCCCAAAAGTTTAAGGACGCGAATAGTGGTGGCTTTTGATAACAACGTGGTCATGAAGGCCTCAATCTGAGTTTATCTGCTGAAGAACCAACAAGAAACAATGAGTTTCCATCCCTTTTCGACTCAGCAGTGAAGCAATGAATGCAATATGTCTGCCAAAAAGATGCATTTGCTGGGTGTTCTGGACTGTCGAAAAAGACTTTTGTGAAATGTTCGGCTTGCCAAAGCTCTTGTGCACGGACTCATGCCAGGCCATTCAAACATGCTTCTAGGCTTGCAAGCTTCATAGTTTTTTCAATGTTACGAGCCACATGGCTGACAATGGAGTGGACGGGGGCGGGAAGGAACTAGACACTCAGTTCTGAGTTCTGCCTGGCAGAAAGAGTGCTTTTTCAACGCAATCCAATCGCAACAGCCTGAGTTTTAGGTGCTCCAGCCTCTGCAAAGCTTGGACTTCGGTTGTGAAAGATTTTGAACGCAAAGGAAACAGAAAAGAGGCAATCGGGACGGAGATGTATTTGATCAGAGTGATCTGACTTGACTGCGAGCTCCTTTTGGACACGCATCTTTGGCCGTCTCTCATGATGAGCATAAAAGATCATTTAAAGAGATATCACTTGTGCTGCGCTGTACAAAGTGTTTCCACTGAAAAGATGTGCGTCACACCACCGATGGAGGCGCGGAAGAATCGGCACAAAAACAGATGGCCTTGCCTTGCCGGGCCCTTGCTTCAGTGGTGTGAAGTGTGACCATGACCCCGCCATTTTGGCAGGACAGGATTAGCCTCGTTGGGTCTTTCACTTTGCGTTCGTGGCGCTTGTTGGTCGATTGGGGCTACCGACGCGGTCCTGTCAGCAGAAACAAGTGCAAACTGCCAAAGGATGCAATCTTGATAACAGTAGTGGGCTGTACGTTGTGCGCTTGGAATTCGATCAAAAGATTAATGAACATCTTTTCAACATAGCAAGCTTACTTATATAGTACAGTATATTGATATTGTGTCTTCAAATTGCACACGGAAGAGCTCCAGAATGCGGCAGATGAACGCCGCCCTCGCCCGCCTGCATGCCTTTCTGGGGCGACCTGATCGAGCATAGAGGCTAAAATGGATCAGCCGGCAGCCATCATGAAGACCGTGTCTAGAGAGAGAGAGAGAGAGCGCGAGCCTGTCTGCAACACCTGTTCATCAATGTTTCCCCTTACCAAGGGTTTGGGCGATCTTCCTGTCATTCCTCTGCTCGAAACCCGGGCTGCCCCACGTTGGTGCTGAAACCTGGTCAGGAAGGGCCAAGACGATGATCGCAACTGGTTCCCAACAAGTCCAATACCTAAGACCTAAGGGACCCCACTCCTTCCTCTCAAAAGCAACACGTTCATACAGTAACCCCTTCTCCCTTTAAACAACAGATATACACACCACACGACATGTGTAAACCCAAAACTGAATTCCATATTTTAACATATTTTAGCACGTGATGGAGTTAAACCCATAGTAAACACATAAACCCATATGGAGTGGACATGTTAAGTGGACTGGATGATTCTGGACACATCGCCCGCCTCCAAAGGACTTCCCAAATTCGCCAAGTTCCTCGCGCAACTCAACTCATGGCGTCCGAATTCGACGCGCGCAAACCAAAGCCCCTTGGGACTTTGGACATCATGTCCCCGGAAAACCCGTTCGAATCCAACTCAAAGCAAATATATACCATAATTATGAAAATAATGCTCCCCCAAAAGCCATCCAGCGAATGCATAATGTAGACTCTTGATTAATAACCCCCCCCTTTGAAGAGGACTCTTAATCCAAATGGGATGAAGTTTACACAACATGTTCAGAAAAAAGATTTCGACCTGGTTACACACCCTGGCCCCAATTAGGTTTTCCACGACCTGCTAATTAAAAATGCTCAGTTTTGCGTTTTCGACTCATACCGGAATGCTAGCATCTGGCGGTTCGTATCCTGTTGCATTCGTAGTGTACAGAGTTCTTTTCTCTTAGGTCTCACGTTTCTTCTGGTAGCGAGTCTCACTGCAAACATCCACCTTTACCCGCTATACAATATAGCAAGGGGGAGTGTGGAGGCGCGTCTGACCAGACGGTCCGCAAGTTCGTTCATCCAAATGGGATGGTTTATTAATCAAGAGTCTACAGTAGTTACTACATTAATTATTTGTTCCATCTTGTGCACTGTCCCATCGCAAGCTTGCACTGTCCCGGACCCGCCGCGTCCTTCGTCTTCCTTGGGAAGCTCCAAGCTTCCTACGAGCCGAGCTCTCCCGTGCGGTCAGCGTTCCGTCACGACGAATCTCCTTTTGATCTCATGTGGCCAAGGGTCGGAGGTTTCAGCAACATTCAAAAGACCCGAACCTTCCAAAGCTTCAACAGTCTTGAAAGACTTTTTGGCCCTGAAAACGAGTTGACTGGCTGACATGCTTCATTTAAAAAGGATGAACGTGAAATAACGTGAAGCAGGCGCCGCCATGAATAAAAAACCGGTTGCTTTGCTGCCCACCGTGCCGGGCCTTTGATGTGCAGCGGTCAAGTCATCCTTCATGTTGCTGTCGGCCAAATCCAAGGCGGATCGCCCCCAGGCGCTCTTGGCATCAAAGCTATTGAAGGCTGGATGCTCCTTGGACACCCCAGTGTTGTCCACAGAAGGCGCTTTCTTTCGGAAGCATTTTACGACCAACTTGGACCGGTTAAGCCACAAAACCATTTGGGGGTAAGTCACATCGTGGGGTGTCAACGTGATCATTCGTTGAGTGTCGAACGTGTCGAGCGTCGAGTGAGGAACGTGTTTCGACCGGCCTTTTTCGGAGAACGTATCTGCCATTGGCAGTGAACTGCCATGACTGTGGCAGCCTTAAAAGGAATATCCGGCAATTGGACTGTGAGGTACTGCTTCGAGGGTGTAAAGTCCTGAAGAAATTCAGAAGAATCATTGAAGAAATACGGGACAAAATGGATAGAAGTGTGCTTATATATACATAACAAGAAGCTACAAGGAGCATAGGGCATCGCTACGAACGGAGCGATCGGACGCTACGAACGTAGCTCCTGGCATTACTACTAGTAACAAGAAGCTACGAACGTAACAAAGGGCATCTCTGTAAATGTATATTATATACCATATACCTAGAGCCTGGCTGACCTCTGTTTTGATAGGAAAAGACCATATTTTGGATAGTTGTTCCTCCAAAACAGTGGTCACTCAGGCTCCAGGGGCTCGTATAAATGCCGCTCTCGGCCGAGGCTCCGCTATACTCCGTGCAACTTCGCTGTGGTGTTGCTCCACGGCCAAGTGCAGGGCTGTGCGACCCCACCTGGATGGCTTTTGTCAGTTGAAGAGACAGAACCCAAAAGAACATCTTCACCTCTGAAAGATCTGGTTGAGGACAATGGGGAAAATCAAAGATTCACTTCTTATCACTTATGGTTGCTATATATTTAGAATTAATTGTATGTAACGTTCAATGATAGTGTACAGTGTACTTGCTTTAGCTCCACACAGAATCTCTGTTCGCCGCACCTGTCACGACGATCAACCTCCTCTTCAAAGCTCTGCGTGCTCAAAAGCACCTGCGGAAAGCAGCACCTGCATGATCCTGTGACCATATGTGACCATCACCAGACTGAGACAAGGAGTCCAAACAGTACTTGAATCGGACATATTGGATACCGAGAACCCCAAGCAAAAGGAACCGAGAATGATCACAAACATCCTCAAAACCCACTCAGTGTAAAGGTCTCCGTTGGTCTCGCTACACCGTAAACCCCCGTCTGTCACCCGTCTGGTCCGAGCTATGTCGAGTCGACCGAGTCATCTCCAGCACCTTGACCACCTCCAAATGTCCTTGCAACGCTGCCACGTGCAAGGCCGTTTGGCCGTTGCGGCCCAAGGATCCTTGCGGAAACAGCTGATAAGCGGACATGCTGGACTTGGACTCCCAATGCGAGGCACCAAAACTATTGAAGATCTGCGAATTGATCAGACCAAGCTGAATCTTTTGAAACTTTGCAAATAGAAACTTTCACATGTTGGATCGGTCCATTTCAAGTTGGACTCCAGTGACCATCTCGCGGCCATTTATGTACTAAAGTCTTAGAGTGACCATCTCGCGGCCAAACGAAAGCGCTTTTCAAAAGCCCCACGGCCGCAGCGCGTCAACGGACGCGCAGCCGCTTTTTGCGCGCGGACGAGCACCGCCTGGGGGCTCCGTCAGCTCTTCGGCAGCCAAAAGCTCCTTGCAACACTCCACCTGAGGCGGACGAAGTCTTAGGCCTTCCCGCCATACATCCCATCTCCAAACAACAAACCATGCACACAGCCACCTGATGCGAGATCTTGTCTGAGTGGTATGAGTGCGGTGCGGGTTATAGAAAACAAACAATTTAGTTAGCTACATGCCAACAAGCCAGTAAGAACCCCAGGGGGGTAACATACATACCTCGTTTGCGGAGGTTAGTAAGTATCTAGCAGGCAACCCCTGCCTCCCCCCCCCCATCTAGGTATGTATGTATGTATGTATGGTCGAAAGGTACATACCTCGAAATCAGGGGTATGTATGTTTCTGGGGAACATACATACCTAGAAAAGGAGAGGTACGTATGTATGTGAAAGGTATGTATGTATGTCTGGGGAAACATACAAACCTCGAAAATGATACGTATGTATGTATGTCTGGGGAAACATACATACGTAGAAACTACAGGTATGTATGTATGTCAAAGGTATGTCTGTGTCTCTGGGGAAACATACATACCTAGAAACTATAGGTATGTATGTATCTCTGGGGAAACATACATACCTAGAAATGTAGAGATATGTATGTATGTCTGGGGAAACATACATACCTAGAAAGTATAGGTATGTATGTATCTCTGGGGAAACATACATACCTAGAAATGTATAGGTATGTATGTATGTCTGGGGAAATATTGATACCTAGAAACTATAGGTATGTATGTATGATAAAGATATATATGTGTGTGCAGGGAAACATACATACCTAGAAAATGATAGGTATGTATGTATGTCTGGGGAAACATACATACCCAGAAAATCGTAGGTATGTATGTATGTCCGGGGAAACATACATACCTGGTAGGTATGTCTGGGGAAACATACATACCTGGAAAAGGAGAGGTATGTATGTATGTCTCGGGAAACATAGAGACCTAGAAAAGTATAGGGGAATGTCCGGTATGTATGCATGTCCGGGGAAACATACATACGTAGACAAGAAGGGGTATGTATGTATGTATGTATGTATGCATGGTCCAAACGGACGTACCTCAAAAGCACGGGTATGTATGTTTCTGGGAGACATAGAAGAGTCAGACCTACCTAGTCTGTATGTATGTCCGGGGAAACATACATACCTAGAAAATTAGAGGTATGTATGGTATGTATGTCGGTTGGGGGGAGAGAGACATACCTAGAAAAGAAGCGGTATGTCTGTATGTATGCATGGTCCAAACGTACATACCTCAAAAGCAGGGGTATGTATGTTTGTCGGAGACATAGAAGAGTCGTACATACCCATCATGTATGTATGTCCGGGGAAACATACATACCCTGTATGTATGTATGTATGTAGGTATGTATGTATGTATGTATGTATGTATGTCCGGGGAAACATACATACCGAGTAAATTACAGGTATGTATGGTATGTATGTATGTCTGGGTACATGTGCAACACAGACGTGTATGTGGCCAAAGAGTGCAGGTGGTATTTATGTATGTCAAAGGTATGTATATCTGGGGACACATACATACATACA